CTTGACACAACCCAGGAAATGTTTACTGTCAAACTTTATAGTACTAATGATGGGTTGATTAGTTCTGATAATTTTAACACTGAATCTCAGACATCTGAACAGGATACATTACTTGGTATTAAACAGCATGATACAAACTGTGTAATGTTTGATGATGAGTCTAATGTAGATAATTTATTGTTACCTCTCCCTCAGGTCAGTTTAATGATTGATGTGAAATTATCCTATGTCTCTGTATTTACTTTAGCAATTATTGTTTGTATATGTTATCTAATCAATTTAGAAAACCATGCATTGACAAGGAAACAAATAGACTCTAATGATAAGATTTTTAATTCAAAGGTATAAGGATTTGTTCTCATAATGTTAATAGGATTGAAAGTAAATATGAAGAAATTTAAACATAACCTTATGTTTTCTGATAACTAACCTGATGTATTAGGATTGTGTGAAACATTTTTAACAAAACACACTACTGATAATGAATTACAAGTACCTGGTTATGTATTTGAAAGAAAGGACAGAACATCACAAGGTGGAGGTGGTCTGATTGTTCATTTTTCTGAAACAATTAAATGTTTAAGAAAAAACAACATCGAAATAGAGGTATTGAAACAATGTGGGTTAAAATTAAACCAGATTACAAAAAATCCTTTTTATTATGTTTTGTGTATAGGCCACCAAAGTCACTGATAGATTGGGTTGATGATTTTGAAAAAGAAATAAGAGTGGCAATGACCATGAATTCAGATATAACAATTATGGGTGATTTTAATTTTAATTTTAAAGCACCAAACAAACCTCCTCAAAAATGGCTGAATGTTTTAGAATCATACAATTTTCAACAACTGATTGTAGATGCCACAAGGGTATCAAAAGATTCTAGTACTGTGTAACATTGATTGATCATATTTATGTCAATAATCCAAATAAGGTACAGGAATCACATGTGTGTAGATATGCAATTAGTGACCATTATCCTATCTGTTTAACAAGGAAAGAAGCAAATATAGGAAAAAAGAATACACTCAGTACAATTACTTACAGAAATTTCAAAAATTTCAACCAAAATGAATTTTTATTAGATCTGCAAACTACACATTTTCATAAAATTGAATTTGAAGAAAACCCCTCTGACTGTCTACAATTGTTTTATGATATGTTGAACAAGGCTTTAGATAAACATGCTCCTGTTGTTAAAAAGAGAGTTAAAAGGGCCAGACAGCCTGAATGGTATAACAGTGAAATCATTTACGCTAGGAATATGAGAGATAAATATAATGCACTTGGTTTATGGAGTGAGTATAGATTTTGGAGAAATAAAACTAAACAAATCATAGATAACTCAAAAAAGAATTATTATAAAAATATGGTAAAAGACTCCATGCAATGACCCTAAAACTTTATGGAAATGTCTTCACAGTCTGAACCCAAGAGTTAAAAATACACCATATGAGTTAGCCACAGAAGATAACAATACAACTAAAAGTAAAAAATCAATAGCAGAAACATTTAATAACTTTTTCACTTCCTGTGATGAAAAATTAAGAGAACAAGGAAGTTATACACCTGTAAACAAAGCAGATTTCAATAATCTTGGTAAATTTGTTAAAAATAAATTACATAAACATGATAAATTTTCTATACCACCAGTGATCATGAATGAGCTATTTAATGAGTTAACAAAACTTGATATAAACAAAGCATCTGGTATGGATAATATTGGACCAAAAATCCTAAGATTAAGTGCCCCTTTTATTGCATCACCTCTCACATACATATTTAACTTAAACTTTTACACCCTACACAATCTGGTTTCAGGCCGCAGCATTTTTGTCAAACTGCACTTATTAATATCATTGACAAATGGTTGCAAGAAATGAATGATGGTAATTTAAACCTAGCAATTTTATTAAATTTTAAAAAAGCTTTTGATTTGGTAGATCATGACATTCTTTGTTTAAAGCTTGAAACTTATGGATTTAGTGAGGCTACTGTTAGTTTTTTCAAGTCATACCTGAATAACAGAAAACAGCAGGTAAACATTTGTAATGTTTATTCTGAACAACAACATGTAAAATTTGGTGTCCCCCAAGGTTCTATACTTGGTCCTCTATGTTTGTGCTATTTATAAACGACCTTCCCTTATGCATTGAAAATTGTGAAACAGACATATATGCTGATGACACCACTCTTCATAAATCAGGGGAAAACATAGAAAATATACATGATGATGGTCAAGAAGATTTATACAGGGTTGAAGAGTGGTGCAAAATGAATAACATGTTCATTAATGCAAATAAAACAAAATGTTTGGTTACTGGAACAAAGCAGAAACTATCAATTCAGACTTATCAACCAAACTTGATAATAAATTCAAAAGTATTACAAAATTCTTCATGTGAAAAAAATTATTAGGTGTTAAAATTGACAGCACACTTAACTGGAAAAATCAAATTGACCAAGTTTGTGCTAATATATCATCCAGAATATACTTTCTTTCTAAAATAAAGAAATTTTTAGATAGAAATGAAAGGAAAACATATTACAATGGGTATATTCTGCCCCTAATTGACTACTGCTGTATTATTTGGGGTGAATGTAAAAATGAAGGGATAACAAGAATTTTAAAACTCCAAAAAAATGCAGCAAGATTAATTCTAGATGCAGATCCTTTATTCCACTCAGCCCCCTTATTTAAAAAACTTGGGTGGATGACAGTTGACAATAGAATCAAATACCACAAATATTTATTTCTATATAAATGTATGCGTATGGAAGCACCAATGTACCTAGTTCAAAAGTTTAAACTGAAATCAGATAATAATCCTTACTCCTTGAGAGGTGTCACTCAAGGTAATCTGATAGTTCCTAAGCCAAAAGCTGGGCTATTTAAGAAATCTTTTGTTTATTCTGGATCAGTGTTATGGAATGGACTACCACACTAAATGCGTAAAGCTCAAAACAGTTATACCTTTAAACAAAGTATCAAGAAGTACTTAACACAGTCCTGATAAGATTGTGTTTTCTACAATGTATTTGTATATTTTTTTAAATTTTTATTTGATTTTTTGACTACATGTACATCTAGAACAGCTTTATATCTTATCATGTTAATAATATTACATTGAACTACTTGACTGTAAATTAACTATGTATAATAATTACACCTTAAGTAAGAATCCTGGGTTTTGATTGGTTGATAGCCAGTGTATTTTTCACCAATTTACTGTTATCAAATGAATATCGTTCATTTTTTAACGCCGCCGGGGTATATGCAAAAAGGATATGCCTTTTTTACCCTCTCTGCCGTGGTATTTGCCAAAAAATACTCTATCCGACTGGACGCTTGTAACGTCACGATCATCAATGCGTTTTTGAACGTTAACATTCGGTGTAATTAAACAGATATAGCATGTTCTTGAGGGCTATTTGAGAAAAATACCAGTCTTGAGAATGAATTTCCCTCGCCTTACGGCTCGCGAAATTTAACATTCTCTCGACTGGTATTTTTCGCAAATACCCCTCCTTAACATGATATATCTGTTCAATATCTGTTTTTGATTGTATTGTAATTTGTGTGTGAGGGCCTCAGGGAAGATTAGTTTATTGTAACTAACTGAGTTTATCCTCTTTAAATAAAGAATTTATTATTATTATTATTATTATTATAAACAATATGCCAAGTTCTAAATCGTTTCTGTCGGTTCAAAAGCTCACTCAGAGCTTATATATATGCTGTATTGATATTTATATTACCGACTTAAAAGAAAATGTATCTGATTTGATTTGATCGTCACGAATTATATAAAAAATGTGAATATATTTAACATTTTTAATGGAGACAATTAAAGATCTGTCAATACTCCTAATACTGTAATACGTACTGTAACATTAAATGGCATATACCGACTTGCTTGGTCATTAACTTTACCGTAAATTAAAATTACAAAAGTAAACATCAATAAAAAATAATATCTATATTTATACTTAAATTTTGAAATAAATACACGCTAGCACATGCAGTCAACATAGTCTACGAACTTTGAGTTATTCTTTTAAACCCAAATTGCACAGCGTACCCAAATTGCACCTATTCAACAAAAATAGCTGCGGAAATCTTACAAATTTTCTTTAAGACAAAACAATTTGTATCTTTATGATTTGACATTATACACGTCTTTCAACATAGGTAAATATATTTAAATATACACAAAACGTTCACAGTATAAATCAATAGATGAAACATTCACTGGAAAAGTAAAATCTACGAAAACGTCGCCTTGCGACGTTCACAAAAAGTCATCTTTTAAAAATGAGCAAATGAAATATGTTACAAGCATCCATATCTTGAAAAATGAATAGTAAGCATGGACTAATGTCAAATTGGCCTAAATATTTGAAGAAATAAAACAAAATATCTGTTATTCGATTTTTAAGGATGTGATTTTAAGCATGGATGCAATTTGGGTACTCCTCATTACGGAATCATGGACCGTTTAGAGGTCGGTTCAAACCCATTTTTCTATGATTCGATATAGATTCAAAATTAAATTGGTGTAAATATAAAGTAAATAAGAATATGTCTTCAAAATAAACACAGAAAAACTGTCAACATAGGTGCAATTTGGGTACCCTCACGTTATATAGCGGAATGTAAAGTAAAAGAATAATGACCCCTCGATAATGTCTGGTTATCTTTTTTCTTGAGAAGCTCACGCGTGAAGTCTGCCTCATTCGAGCAAACGACAACAAGTCGACATGCCGAGGGCACAGTTGGTTCCCATATGAATCATGTGAACGTCATTTTAATGCAAAATTTTAAAATATCTTCTAGTAAAAACCCTTTCATATGAAAATCCAATACCGGACATTTCCCGATGAGATATTAAGTCATATTGTGTGATTTTTTAAAGGTATGTTTTTATTTTATAAGTTACCACCCTGGTGCGTTATTGTCCAAAAAATAATGTGTTGGTAAATAGACTGTTCTTGGAGAAATACAGTAATGAATACCACAAGGGTGCAAAAACAGGCTCCATTATATATGTTATAGGCTCATATTGCACGACGAAGAAAAGCTAGAAGTCAGAACTGTCCTTTACTTTTTACTGGGAATGAAGTAATTTTAAGGGATTTTTTAAAGATTAAGGTCGAGAATATATATGAAGACGCACAGAAACTTTTATATTGGAATACAACGGACCAAACATTCAATACAGACTGCATGGGGTCCATTTCTTTACCCCTAAACACCAAAAATAACCCAAAATACAAAAAATAACTCCAGAGCATACATTAAATATGTTCACATGTATGGCTGTAAAAATTTGCAATATTTACAGCAAAGAAAACATTTGAATTTGTTCATAAAAATAAATAATTGTTATAAAAAATTAAATATATATGTTCATAATGTAACCAGAGAGAACGATTCTTCTTACAAAATCATCTTTGTCTCAACCGGGACTAGAACTCTAGACCTCTATGTTACAAGTCAACGTGTATACCAACTGAGCTAAAGAAGTACTTCCCTTAAGCTCTTGCAACCGCTCACGGCTGGCTAAGTCAAAGTACTACATATACATGTACCAAGGGAAGCAATCCTGTCACACTTCCCCCACTTCAAGAGTCATTATACTATAATGATGAAATATTTAACACTTCCCTAGCTAGGTAATTCTTCTAACCGGGGTTTTTAATTGTTGGGCGCCAAATGTAACCGGAGAGCATGATTCTTCTTACAAAATCATCTTTGTCTCCACCGGGACTTGAACCCGGGACCTTTGTGTTACAAGTCAGCGCTTATACAGACTGAGCTAAAGAAGAACTTCCCTAGCTCAACCGCTCACGGCTGGCTAAGTATCTACTAACATACCTTTGTCCAAGGGAAGCAATCCCGTCACAATAAAAACAGCAATATAAATATTCAAAAAATCAAAGTATGTGTTCATCAAATAAAAAAAGCATACAAAATAAACATGATAAATCATGATCATAAAAACAAATAATAGTTCATAAATATTAAACATGTTAAATATGTATGCATAAAAACAAAATGTGTATTAAAACAATCAAAATTGTGTTCTTAACATTATTCACATATATATAGTGCCTAGAAAATCAACCTAACAATGTTAGAGTAGGTCTGATTTCCACTATCACCTAGTATTTCTTAATCATAAGAAATCCAATGGACAAGGTATAATTTACAGTTGTCACTATACATAGGCAGACATATGATATATATGTTGGTTACATTAAAAAAAATATAAATTGTGTTCAATAATTTGTTTCATGGGATGACTGCCTTGTACAAATGTATGTATGTGTGTGTGAATTCCTCTGTTATGGGAAGCACCCCTGAGGGCTGTGAGGGTGCAGTGAAATCCATGTGCAAGTTTTTAGTCCCCTACCGACGAAGTCGAAGGGGACTTTAGGTTTGCACTCCGTCTGTCTGTCTGTCTGTCGGTCTGACTGTCTGTCTGTCTGTCTGTCCGTCTGTCTGTCCTTCTGTCAGTCCGGCAAATCAGCTTTCCACACTTTTTTTCTTCGTTCTTGAAGATATTGTTTTGATATTTGGTATATAGTTTTATCATGACAAGTTATAGATCAAGTTCAAATTTTGTTCAGGTCTGATGATTTAATCCAGAGTTATGGACCATAACTCTGGACCATATCTAATGTTAGAGTACTATGTTAAACCATATTTCTGTACAAAGGGAGATAACTAATTTTTTAAAAGACATTCTTTGTTCAATTATTTGAAGAATTTTTTGGCAGGTTTGTTAGTTATTTAGTATAAACTAATTTTATGAATGCTGTATATATATATAAAAAAAATTATGAAGAGAAATCCTTTAATTAGATAATAATCTATTTTTATTATGTATATATTTCAATACATTACATTGTGTGGATAAAAGTTGTTGACATTTTATAGATAAGTCACAAATCTATATTAGTTTGTGATAAATGAAAGAAAAAATATTTGGAACTATTAATTATATTTGATTATAATTTGAAAATAGATATACACTGTATTACATCATATCTAATTTTAGAGAACTATTAATCATATCTAATGTTTTTTTCATCATGCTTATACGATATTGATTGATAATTGGTATATAGTTTTATCATGACAAGTTACAGATCAAGTTCAAATTTTTGTTTCGGTCTAGTAATTTTGTGCAGAGTTATGGTCCTTGGACTTGAAAAATTCACTCATATAATCAGTTTTCCACACTGTTTTTAGTCATGCTTGAAGATATTGACATGATATTTACTTTTTGTTTACACCATGGCAAGTTATATAACAAGTTAGTATTTTGTTCCAGTATAATGAATTTTTAGCCGGTAGGGGACTATGTATTGCCATGCAATACTCTCAGAATGCTTGTTTTTTCATTGTTTGCACTGATAAAATAGAGAATGGAAATGGGGAATATGTCAAAGAGACAACAAACTGGCCAAAGAGCAGATAACAGTTGAAGACCACCAATGGATCTTCAATGCAGCGAGAAAATCCTGCTACCAGAGGTGGGCCTCAGCTGGCCCCTAAATAAAAATGTGTACTAGTTACGTGAAAATGGACGTCATACTAAACTCCAAAACATATAAATGAACTAAAATTAAAAATCATATAAGACTAACAAAGGCCAGAGGCTCCTTACTTGGGACAGACGCAAAAATGCGTCGGGTTAAACATGTTTTGTGAGATCTCAACCCTCCCCCTATACTTCTAGCCAATGTAGAATAAACAAACACACAGCAATATGCACAGTAAAACTCAGTTTAAAAGAAGTCTGAATCTGATGAATATTCAATTTACTATTTTTATATACTGAACACTAATATTTTACTATCCATTCTAGTTATTTTTTTAAATGTGTTGACATATATAATAGTTAATTGTTGTTTTCTATAACAAGTATTTACTTCAGATGATGGGGTATATATCTTATTTGTCTGAATGTCTTAAGCTTGATCTATATACAAGTTAATTTTTATTTTCTGTTACTTATTTTTTTCAGATGAAGGGATGTACCTTGTTTGTTTGTTTGATCAAGTTGATGTTAACAGTGGTTAATTGATGTTTTTTCAGATGAAGGGATGTATTTTATTTGTTTGAATGTCTTGATCTCTATAATAGTTAACTCTTATCTTCTGCTACTTATGTTTTTTTCAGATGAAGGGATGTATTTTATTTGTTTGATCCAGTTGATGTTAACTGGTTAATTGATGTTTTTTCAGATGAAGTGATGTATTTTATTTGTTTGATCGAGTTTATGTTAACAGTGGTTAATTGATGTTTTTTCAGATGAAGTGATGTATTTTATGTGTTTGATCCAGTTGATGTTAACAGTGGTTAATTGATGGTTTTTTTTATGAAGGGATGTATTTTATTTGTTTGATCAAGTTGATGTTAACAGTGGTTAATTGATGTTTTTTCAGATGAAGTGATGTATTTTATTTGTTTGATCGAGTTTAAGTTAACAGTGGTTAATTGATGTTTTTTCAGATGAAGGGATGTACTTTATTTGTTTGATCAAGTTTATGTTAACAGTGGTTAATTGATGTTTTTTCAGATGAAGGGATGTACTTTATTTGTTTGATCAAGTTGATGTTAACAGTGGTTAATTGATGTTTTTTCAGATGAAGGGATGTATTTTATTTGTTTGAATGTCTTGAACTATATAATAGTTAAATCTTATCTTCTGCTACTTATGTTTTTTCAGATGAAGGGATGTATTTTATTTGTTTGATCCAGTTGATGTTAACTGGTTAATTGATGTTTTTTCAGATGAAGTGATGTATTTTATTTGTTTGATCGAGTTTATGTTAACAGTGGTTAATTGATGTTTTTTAAGATGAAGGGATGTACTTTATTTGTTTGATCAAGTTGATGTTAACAGTGGTTAATTGATGTTTTTTCAGATGAAGGGATGTATTTTATTTGTTTGAATGTCTTGATCTATATAATAGTTAATTCTTATCTTCTGCTACTTATGTTTTTTCAGATGAAGTGATGTATTTTATTTGTTTGATCCAGTTGATGTTAACAGTGGTTAATTGATGTTTTTTTGGATGAAGGGATGTATTTTATTTGTTTCATCAAGTTGATGTTAACAGTGGTTAATTGATGTTTTTTTCAGATGAAGGGATGTATTTTATTTGTTTGATCCAGTTGATGTTAACAATGGTTAATTGTTACAACAGATTAGCTCAAATAAATTCTGTAGATGGATACCTAAATATTTGTATGGATGGAGTATATCAGAAAGAAGAGCAGGGACCAGGAGAATTGTATGGACAGGTTTGTTGTCATTATGTCAGATATATAATAATCATTCTTAAACATTCACTACAGAATAAGTATTACACACATAATGCATTGATAAATCTTTATCAACTAATATTTTGCAAAGCTAGGAATTGATCATGTTGATCATCATTTGAAAATTAAACTTTACGACAAAATAGATTGATTTCTAAATTCCTTTTTGTGAACTTGCCATTTATATGTAGCAACATTCATGCATCACCTTCATATGGAGTATATTTCTCCCAGATATAATGAAGTGTCAATGTTTTGGGAAGTTTCACATTGTTCAAATTGTATGGTTTTCTTACAGTAGAAGGCTTACTTTTTAGAAGAACTTATAATACACTATTGGTGATTTTTATACAACCGCAAACATTTTTTGTGTTCGTATAATGATATGATGTCGTTGTTGTCATTTAAGTGAATGGATCTCTATGAAATTTTACCAGAAGGTTCAATACCACAAAAGGAAGGTTGGGGTTGATTTTGGGGGTTATGGTACCAACAGTTTAGGAGTTAGGGTCCAAAAAGGGTCCAAAAACAAGCATTTTTGTAGTTTCCGGACAATTACTCGTGTGTTAGTGTATGGATCTCTCTGAAATTGTACCACAAGGTTCCATATTTCAAAGGGAAGGCTGGGATTGAGTTTGGGGTAATTGCCCTAAACGTTCTAGAATTAGGGGCAAAAAAGGGGCCAAAAACAAGCATTTTTCTAGTTTCCAGACAACAACTTGTGTTTAAATGTATGGATAACATTCTTTCTGTTACAGTGTGCAGAGTGGAAGGAGAGAAATTGTTGTTATGAAAACACAACTAAATCTTTACAGAAGCCAGAACCTTGGCATAACTTTAATCTGAATCATTGCGGTCAGCTATCACCAATGTGTAGGGGACATTTCTTGCAGAGTTTTTGTTTCTATGAATGTTCACCTAATGTAGGCCCATGGCTTGTTAAGGTTTGTATGATAACTGATGTAGAAAGCTTGTTAGTTTTTGTATAAATGAATATCGCAGAACTGCCAACCTTCATGATTTGTTGGGGATTTTTGAGGTGATGACCTGAATTTTGAAATTCTTTATTATACAAACTCAAAACACTCATTCAAATGAATTGATAGGGTATTTAAGCACATACACACTCATTCAAACAGTATAGTTTTAGATTAAAAAGTTAATTGCGACAGTAAAAGAGGATCATAAGGGTTCTCTTGCTCTTAAAGTCCCCCATGGAGATTTTGAATAATTGGCAGGTATGATATCATGGAACCCATGGAAGTATTAAATATACCTGTTTTTAGTATTTGACAAACCATGTTAGATTATTGTCATAATTTCAAATACAGTTTAGGGAAATATTTTGATTGATGTATTTCAGCATCACGCAAGTAAATGGTTCAAAGTGTGTTGTTGCACAAAACATTTCAATATGATTTATTTATTAGAGGTTCTCATATCAGTTATTTACCATAGCCAGTTTCACATTATTGTCACATGACATTATTTGGACATTTTACAGACTGTATCTATTAATCACCTCTAAATGCCTGAAGAGTGTAGACAAAATATGATCTATAAACTTTATAATCATAACAACATGTAAATATCGAAATTTTCAATTTCTTGATAGCTGTTGAATCTGCATATATAGATAACCACTGATCTAGCTAATATTTAGTCAAAATATATAATAACATGGGTGTTAAAGAAAAGAAAGATTCAAAGCAAAGTTTTTATATTTTTATTTACATAGGTTAATGGCATGGAATCAAGAAAAGAAAGATTTTATAAAGTTCCTTTGTGTGAAAGAGAATGTAACTTATGGTGGAATGATTGTAGAAATGATAGTACATGTGTGAAAAACTGGGAAACAGATTTCGACCTAAGCAGTGGTAAAATAATTGATTCTTCAACTTTCACTGAAAACAATTTTTACATGATGAATTTATTTTTCTTGATATTTCTCATACAAACACGAATATTAGAGGAAACATATCCTAAAAACTAAGTTCCAAGATATATTTGTCCGCTCCTCACCAATTTGTAACACTATTTCTGCTTATTAGCATGAACAATTTGTTATGATTACAAACAACAGTGATTCAACGCCTGGTAAATCTTCAATAGGATAGATTCCCTCAATTTATTTATGAGAGTTAGAGGTCAATGATCAAGGTCACCTTTTTTCATTGAGTATACATATTTAAAAAGTCAGAATGCGAATATATATGTTCAAACTCTTTAAGGTCATTTTTCAGTAACAACAAACAAAAGAATTATGTCAATTGGACCTGCTTTGATACTATAACTGCCCTTGAATTTTTGCTAGATAACATTTTTGTTTGCTATGGAGATTCCCTATATCGTCAAGTTATCGCAATTCCAATGGGACACCACTTATTGCGGACCTGTTTCTGTATTGTTACAGACATCTTATACATTCAGGTATTTCACATCCAATCTTTTATGGTAATATTCTTTACAAAGCACGGAAATGTCGGCATTTACCTCAAAAGCTAATCAAACCTTTTAAAAGACTTATTAAGAAGGGATATAGTTACGATACTGTTGTCTGGTCATTAAAGGTGGCATATTTTGGTATTAATATTGATTAACTCATAGGGTCTTTGCATCGGAAATAAACACATTTATTCGAAAACCATTTGTTGGCAAGATACGTGTTATGTTCTTCTCATATATTTTATGATGGTATGATACTAAACCCCTAATGGGAGGGATTGTGGTTGATTTTCATATGATGAAGACATAATCTTTCGATCAGTTTAATTGAGGTCTGGAGCTGGCATGTCAGTAACTGCTAGTAGTCCTTTGTTAATTTATGTATCATTGTCATTTTGCTTAGTTTCTTTTGTTACCTATTCTGACATCAGACTCAGACTTCTTTTAAACTGAGTTTTACTGTGCGTATTGCTGTGTGTTTGTTTAATCTACATTGGCTAGAGTTATAGGGGGAGGGTTGAGATCTCAATAAACAGGTTTAACCCCGCCACATTTTTGCGCCTGTCCCAAGTCAGGAGCCTCTGGCCTTTGTTAGTCTTGTATGTTTTTTTTAATTTAAGTTCATTTATATGTTTAGGAGTTTAGTATGATGTCCATTTTCACTGAACTGGTACACATTTTTGTTTATGGGCCAGCTGAAGTCCGCCTCTGGGTGCAGGATTTTCTCTCTGTGTTGAAGACCCATTGGTTGCCTTCGGCTGTTTTTTTACTCTTTGGTCGGGTTGTTGTCTCTTTGACACATTCCCCATTTCCATTCTCTATTTTATACTTCATTTTCTTTACAAATATTATTAAGTCAGATTTTTTATACGTTTTTGCGGTTGTATATTGGTATGACGTTGGCGTCGTCGTCGTTGTCGTCCCAAGACACATTGGTTTTCGCACTCTAACTTTAGTTTAAGTGAATGGATCTCTATGAAATTTTACCAGCAGGTTCAATACCACAAAAGGAAGGTTGGGATTGAATTTGGGGGTTATGGTACCGACAGTTAAGGAATTAGGGGCCAAAAAGGGGCCAAAAATAAGCATTTTTGTAATTTCCAGACATAACTTGTGTGTTAGTGTATGGATCTCTCTGACATTGTACCACAAGGTTCCATATCACAAAGGGAATGCTGGGATTAATTTTGGGGGTAATTGGTTCCAAATTTTAGGAATTAGGGGCCAAAAAGGGGCAAAAAACAAGGATTTTTCTAGTTTCATGACAAAAACTTGTGTGTAAGTGTATGGATCTCTCTGACATTGTACCACAAGGTTCCATATCACAAAGGAAATGCTGGGATTGATTTTGGGGGTAATTGCCTCCAAATTTTAGGAATTAGGGGCCAAAAAGGGGCAAAAACAAGCATTTTTCTAGTTTCATGACAATAACTTGTGTGTAAGTGTATGGATCTTTATGGAATTGTACTACAAGGTTCCATATCACAAAGGGAAAGCTGGAAATGAGTTTGGGGGTAATTGCCCAAAACATTTAGGAATAAGGGGCCAAAAAGGGGCCAAAAATAAGCATTTTTCTAGTTTCCAGACAATAACTTGTGTTCAAGTCTATGGATCTCTCTGAAATTGTAATGCAAGGTACCATACCACAAAGGGAAGGCTGGGATTGAATTTGGGTGTAATTGCCTCAAAATTTTAGAAATTGGGGGCCATAAAGGGGCAAAAAAACAATCATTCTTCTAGTTTCAGGACAATAACTTGTGTGTAAGTGTATTGATCTTTATGAAATTGTACTACAAGGTTCCATATCACAAAGGGAAAGCTGGGTTTGAGTTTGGGGGTAATTGCATTAAACGTTTAGGAATTTGGGGCCAAAAAGGGGCCAAAAAACAAGCATTTTTCTAGTTTCCAGACAATAACTTGTGTTCAAGTGTATGGATCTCTCTGAAATTGTACTGCAAGGTACCATACCACAAAGGGAAGGCTGGGATTGAGTTTGGGGGTGATGAATCATAAGGGGTTCAAAAAATTTTAAATTGGTTATTTCTGTGTCAGAAACCTGTGCTGTGTCAAATATTTAATCACAATCCAAATTCAGTGCTGTATCAAGCTTGAATGTTGTGTCCATACTTGCCCCAACTGTTCAGGGTTCGACCTCTGCGGTCGTATCAAGCTGCGCCCAGCGGAGCATTTTATTAGGTGATGTTTTTATTATTGCAAAAAAATTGTGACCGGAAAAAAACTCCTATTATAAATTTGTAAATTTTTGTTTGAATGAAGCGTTTTTCTGAATTCTCAATAATGAATTTTGAATTTTGGTCAATAATGTTTTTAACAATCTCAAAAATAAAGGCATGCAAAAAGTTCTGAATTTACAGTGAAATTGAATGCCAATATGATATTAGATAGATAATATAGAAATAATCATAAAACTCCCATACAACATCAATTTGATTTTAATTATTAAATGACATAGCAATAGATTATCCGATATTTCCAAATCTGTCTTATACTGAAAAACTTGTAGTACTGCTAAATCCTTCAAATATAAATCAAGTGAAAAACAGGTTCCTTTATAAAACAGTCTAGAGCTGAGGACAGGGAACTTTTAGTTATTTTTGCTTGTATATACATATATATATGTATTCAAATCAGTTTTATTTTTTGTTGTTGTTATTATTTGTATTTGTCACAAGTATTATGCTTTACTTAAATGAAAATTAAATCATTATATTGTATTTTGATAATGCAAAAACTTTTAGGGAACCTTACTTGACAAATATCTTCTGCTGAAGAACTGTTCAATCAATTTATAACAATCTTATGATATGTATAAACATTAGATGTAATATGATGTCTACTGAAACAACTATCCACCAGTACCAAATGATGTGTTCCTTTGAAAGTTCCAAACAAATGTCTTAACTTTCTTGTCATCTGTAATTCACAATCAAAAATTGAAACAAAAACTTGATTTTTTTTTTTTTCAAATTTTTTTAATATAAAGTGAAAAAATACCCATTGAGAAACATTCTTTAGATGGTACTAACTTAGTGTTTTTACTTTGTCCTGTTAAGAAGTTAAATATTGCTCTCAGCTCATTTTAATTTATTGCACTATTTGTCAGGTTATTGTGATTTTAAAATGAACTGTTAAAATAGCTTTATGATTTCTTTTCTAGGAACAAACAAATGTCCAGGTTACAGTTCCTGTAAAAACTTCACAGATATATACACAGACGCCACTGACTTCTGTGAGAGTGTGTTTGACAGAACGTGGCAGGTAGTGGGGAACTCTACCGAACCCTGTATGGTGCTAAACTTTCATGACACAAATCCCAACTATTATGTTGCCAAACAGAAAGCTCAGTCCATATACAGTAACAAATCAAATACTGTTAAGTTTGGGACAATGTTATATTTGTTGGTTCTTATTATGTTTGTTATACCAAAGATGTAGATATTTTCAAAACATTCCAACATTCCAGTCTTTCAATTAGAAGTTCTTGTGTTTTATACAATACATTGGTTGTGCCATTTTTTTATATATATTTTATAAGAATTGTTTTAAAATATACTTTAATTGTTAAGCATTTATGATGTTTTTATTCAAGTTTTACAAGATAGACAGACAGACACTAAACAATTGTAATTGTTCTTGATGTAAAAAGATTTCTTTTTTGCTTACATGTAAATACAAATCCTGTACATCGCTGATAAACATTTTCATTTCTTTTTTTCCAATCATTTAACTATAGACTTACAGGAGAATCTTGATGTACATTAGAAATAAGCTGTGGTGATAATTTTATCTCTTACATGATGATTTTAGATAATGAAAAGTGTGACTCATAGGGATAAACCAAAACAGTGAATGGCAAACTAAGAACTGTTTTGACCACTTTTCATACAAAAAATGTTTATTTAAACAGTGTAAACACTCATCAAAGATACTAGGTTTATAATTTGGTATGGCACATGAGCGTTTCAGGCTTAGAATTTGGTATGGCACATGTGCGTTTCAGGCTTAGAATTTGGTATGGCACATGTGCGTTTCAGGCTTATAATTTGGTATGGCACATGATCGTTTCAGGCTAATAATTTGGTATGGCACATGTGCCTTTCAGGCTTATAATTTGGTATGGCACATGTGCCTTTCAGGCTTATAATTTGGTATGGCACAGGTGCGTTTCAGGCTTATAATTTGGTATGGCACAGGTGCGTTTCAGGCTTATAATTTGGTATGGCACATGTGCGTTCCCTCAACATATGACTCATCAGTGGCACTCCAACCAAAATAGTTGGAAGGTCAAACCAAGTAGGAAGTAAAAAGAATTGTTGTTCTGTGGATTCATTATTATTCGTTGGATACAATAGATTTCATGGGTACAGAGGAACCACAAATTTAAATGTTCAATGAAATAAAAATTGTCTATAGGAATATATGCAGACCAGAAAAACCAGGAAATTAAATATCCAGGAAAATGCAAGTTTTCCTTAATCAACAAAAATTGGTACCCATGAAAATAAATGAATCCTAAGTAATCAAGAACATTCATTATAGGAGATTTTAGGTTTCTCAAGTCAAACCCCTAGATTTGGTTTATATTGAAGTATTATAGAAAAGAATTAAGTCACTTTTACCCCTTAATTTATTGTATTTATCAACTTTTGAAAGATAAATATTCAAATTTTAAATGCTACGCAAACCTGTCTAAATTATGTATATCAACAAATTAAGGATATCTAATTCAGTATCGTCTCATAGAAAGGTTGAGAATTTAGTATGATGTCTTGGAAAGGTTGAGAATTCAGTATGATGTCATGGAAAGGTTGAGAATTCAGTATGATGTCATGGAAAGGTTGAGAATTCAGTATGATATCATGGAAAGGATGAAAATTCAGTATCATGTGATGGAAATATGTCATGGAAAGGTTGAGAATTCAGTATCATGTCATGGAAAGGTTGAGAATTCAGTATCATGTCATGGAAAGGTTGAGAATTTAGTATCATGTCATGGAAAGGTTGATAATTCAGTATCATGTCATGGAAGGGTTGAGAATTCAGTATCATGTCATGGAAGGGTTGAGAATTCAGTATCATGTCATGGAAAGGTTGAGAATATCAAGTTATTGTGGATTGTATTAGTTTATCTTCATCTGTTCCAATTTTGGTTGATTGAAAAATAATGTAGGTTCATAAATACCTGACTTTCAGGCTTTCAAAAAATCTGCATTCAGGAATTTAGGGAATTTTTTATTGAATACTAAAAAAATGTTGAGTTATATAAATATATAATCCAATGAAATTATAAAAAAAGATCCAGTTTGTTTATTATATTTTATGTTTAATATAGTCTATTCCTTGTATTTAATTTCCTTTCATGTTTCTCTTTTAATGGCATTCCAGAAGGTTTTGTTTTGTATACTTATCACACTTTACTTATTGTACATTATTCAACAAATCAAAAGTGTGCTTTAAAATACATTTGCATATGACTTTTTTGTGATATTGTGATAATCATTGGAAGGTATTTTTGAAATTGTTTAATTATTTTATGTTATATAACTATAATTGATAATACATGTATTGAAGAATAGTTTTTGAATTATTTTGATGTCCATTTATTAACTTTATTGTTATGAACTTGAATTGATGTTTTTGGTCTAACAGACTATAATCATAATAATTACTTATGTATTTAATGAGGGTCGTAATGGGGATACTTCATGGCGAATAACGGTAAAAAATCTTGCCAAGTTACGTTAGCGGTAATTTTTGGTGCATGATGATAAAATGTACACACTTTCTTTATGACGATAAAATAATCAGCTGATTTTGACAAATCACGTTAAATTCTTTCCCAAAATAATGGTAATGGTTAATTATTTGAGATCTCTGACGAATCTTGATAAGGATATTTTGACAAATCATGATAAAATTTTAACCAATTTGACGCTAACAGTAGCCGAAAAATGACTGTTTGACGACTGATGGTAAAGGGCATTCCTACCCTCTTTAATCAATGGTAAGTGAGTTAAAGGTTTGGATAGGAAACTTTTCTGAATTTTATAAATACAAAACCAATGCAGTTCATGAAAAAATAGCCAAATATAATACAATTTCTTCAGGTTGTGTTTTTTCTAATGATAATAAAAATTTTGAACTTATTTTTTTTACATTTTACATTTATCAATTGTATATTAATTTATTAAAAGCAACATATAAGAAACAATGGAATCAATATCCAAACTTTGTATACTTTTATAATTATATAAATAATATTATATTTTATATTAAAAAAATTTCCACAGAAGTATGGGTTGTTTTTCTTCATGGAATATTGTTATATATGTACTAAACATGCAATATATATATATAAGCCTCATATTTGTGTCCTTTCCTGTGCCCAGTCCTATTTTGTGTTATAGACACCACAAATATATAATTACTATTCTCTAATCTGTGTCTTTTAAATAAGTCGTGTTCCATCCTATGGTTTGACATCATACATGTAATTATCAAAACGTCAATGAATAATTTTTGTAATCAAAGAAATCAGTACAACTTTTATATTCGAATTAGATCGATATCAGTTAAGGCCTTTGAAAAGTTAATGTGTGAAAGCACTCATAATATTATTTTCTCTCTCAAAAGAGACACATTAGTCATAAATACTTTTTTGGGATTTGTCAAATAAGTAATGAAGCCTTCAAGGCAAAACGGTAGAATAGATTGGAGTTCTGTTAAAACATTTGTCTTTTTTTAGGTTGAATTTTGTGCTTTGTGTTGACCTAATGAGCCAAGTCTTTTACAGCTTGTTCACATGTTGTATTGTTACACCTCAGTTCCACCATACTCTATATGTGCCTGTCCAAAGTCATGTCACATTACTAATAGTCTTCCTTATAAAAAGGACACAAGTTTGAATAAATAAAGATTTTGGTTTCATGACATAACGGGGCACAGATCGGAGGAAAGGACATAGATTTGAGGCTGGTCAAAGGACAACAGATTTGAGTGTCAAGAGCTAGATGTCACAAGACACAAATCTGAGGAAAGGACACAGATTGGAAGCAAGACATAGATTTGACTCGTACTGATAAAATGTCCAAAAGATAAATAGTGTAATTAAATAATTGTCAGTAATTAAACTAATGAATAACAGTAAAAATCATTGGGAAAGCAACACAACAACATAAAAAAACTATAAGACATATAGAGGTCAACAAATGGGCCTTTTATAGCTGACTACATAGTATGGATTTTGTTCATTGCTGAAGGCAGTATGGTGACCTATAGGTTGCTTAAATCTGCTTTATTTGGACTCTGTTGGATAGTTGTCTCATTGGCAACCATACCACATCTCCTTATTTTATGTTCAAAAAAATGACAAGTGTCTTTAACATATGTTCAGCTCTAAATCGACTAGTTACTTATTTGATTACTAACTTCAATGACAGACTGGTTACTTGTTTGATTACTAACATCAATGACAAAGACTGGTTACTTGTTTGATTACTAACATCAATGACAAAGACTGGTTACTTGTTTGATTACTAACATCAATGACAAAGACTGGTTACTTGTTTGATTACTAACATCAATGAGAAAGACTGGTTACTTGTTTGATTACTAACATCAATGACAAAGACTGGTTACTCGTTTGATTACTAACATCAATGACAAAGACTGGTTACTTGTTTGATTTCTAAGATCAAGGACAAGTAAAATTGAGAATGGAAATGGGGAATGTGTCAAAGAGACAACAACCCGACCAAAGAGCAGAAAACAGCTGAAGGCCACCAATGGGTCTTCAACACAGTGAGAAAATTCTGCACCCGGAGGCGGGCTTCAGCTGGCCCCTAAACAAAAATGTGTACTAGTTCAATGAAAATGGACTTCACACTAAACTCCAAAACATATAAATAAACTAAAATTAAAAAAAACATACAAGACTAACAAAGGCCAGAGGCTCCTGACTTGGGACAGGTGCAAAAATGCGGCGGGGTTAAACATGTTTTGTGAGATCTCAACCCTCCCCCTATACCTCTAGCCAATGTAGAGTAAACAAACACACAGCAATACGCACAGTAAAACTCAATTTAAAAGAAGTCTGAGTCCGATGTCATAATTGGTAACAAAAGAAACTAAGCAAATTGAACAAAGGACTACTAGCAGTTACTGACATGCCAGCTGGTTACTTGTTGCTTACTAAGCATCAATGACAAAGACTGGTTACTTGTTTGATTACTAACATCAATGACAAAGACTGGTTACTTGTTTGATTACTAACATCAATGACAAAGACTGGTTACTTGTTTGATTACTAACATCAATGACAAAGACTGGTTACTCGTTTGATTACTAACATCAATGACAAAGACTGGTTACTTGTTTGATTTCTAAGATCAAGGACAAGTAAAATTGAGAATGGAAATGGGGAATGTGTCAAAGAGACAACAACCCGACCAAAGAGCAGAAAACAGCTGAAGGCCACCAATGGGTCTTCAACACAGTGAGAAAATCCTGCACCCGGAGGCGGGCTTCAGCTGGCCCCTAAACAAAAATGTGTACTAGTTCAATGAAAATGGACGTCACACTAAACTCCAAAACATATAAATAAACTAAAATTAAAAAAAACATACAAGACTAACAAAGGCCAGAGGCTCCTGACTTGGGACAGGCGCAAAAATGCGGCGGGGTTAAACATGTTTTGTGAGATCTCAACCCTCCCCCTATACCTCTAGCCAATGTAGAGTAAACAAACACACTGCAATACGCACAGTAAAACTCAATTTAAAAGAAGTCTGAGTCCGATGTCATAATTGGTAACAAAAGAAACTAAGCAAATTGAACAAAGGACTACTAGCAGTTACTGACATGCCAGCTGGTTACTTGTTGCTTACTAAGCATCAATGACAAAGACTGGTTACTTGTTTGATTACTAACATCAATGACAAAGACTGGTTACTTGTTTGATTATTAACATCAATGACAAAGACTGGTTACTTGTTTGATAACTAACATCAATGACAAAGACTGGTTACTTGTTTGATTACTAACATCAATGACAAAGACTGGTTACTTGTTTGATTACTAACATCAATGACAAAGACTGGTTACTTGTTTGATAACTAACTTCAATGACAGACTGGTTACTTGTTTGATTACTAACATCAATGACAAAGACTGGTTACTTGTTTGCAGATTTACAGTTGTGAGTGCTTTCTTCAGATGGGGTCTCAACATACAAATTTGGGTACAGCATCTGGCTGTAGTTTGTGAAAACCATCCCCATTCTTATATTGACTTATGCAAAAATCCCCACCCATTCATATATTTCACAAGAAAATCACAACCCATTATATATATTTTCCAGCTTATGACATCTTTAAAATTAGATGTTAACCACATGGGATCATTCATATAGATCAGAACACAGTTTAGACAGACATCTTAACAGAAGATTAACATTTACTACCCATTGACTTATAAATGTCTACCTATTGGTATATTACCTCCATGAAATAGCACCCTGTTAATATTGATATATTTAACATTTCTAAAAAGTGACCCATATCATACATCTGTGTATATCTTTGTATAGGAAGAGACCCCCTGTGGCTTTCTTACAGCAGGGCTCATATGACAAGTTTGTCCTTAAATAGACCATAGAGCTGTTTCTTATTAGCAATCCCCATTTTACAGTGATACTGTACTGGTATGATTTAAATGATACATTTTGAGTACATAAATGTGACCTGTAATTGTTCAAATCTTGGACCTTTAAATCTATGGACATTTGTCAGTTTTCTCAGGTGGCAATCATGCAAATCTCCATTTTTATCTCTCCAGCTTTTCAGAAGTTTATACCAGAAACATATATTGTAAATCAGTATCACTTTCTTTACTTAATGACCTCATTCAATTGCTATGCATGTCTGCAAAGTCGAACATAGAAATTTGAATAAGTTCAAATTTTAATCCACAGTTTTCACGAAAAAGACTTGCTGACAATGACAAATAATTAGGAAGAAAAAATTTCCAAGTGGACATTTGCATATTTAATTGCTGAACTGTTCGTAACACTATAGGAAGCCTAATGAAGATACCGGTATATGGTTTTCTTGTAAATAAATGACATAAAACATATTGTTCTTAAAGGACATACAAAAAAAAATGCAGGTATTCTCTTAATATTGGTTTTCTCGTTTGAATTGTTCACATTTTTCATATCGGGGCCTTTAATAGCCCACTATACGTTATGGGTTATCTCATTGTTGAAGGCCTTACGTTTCCCTTTAATTGCTTACATACACTTCATTTGAACCCTGGTGGGTAGTTGTTTCATTGGCAACCATACCACATCTCATCATTTTTTTGGGGGGTTCATTTGGTCACAGTTATTATTTAATCATTATAACCTGTACACCTCATCTACACAATGGTTGCTATGTAGTTATTTTGTAACTGTGGACATTGGTCATCTCAAGATTGATGATTGATTGTTGGTATATAACCCCTATATCATGGCAGCCAGTTGTTATGTGTGGAAAAAGCCAGAGTACCTGGAGAGAACCACAGACTCCTAGCAGGAAAACTGACAATCCTCGTCAATTAAGATTGGAGTTGATGAAGTACTAAGACCACTAGACCACCAAGGTAACAAGACAACAGAGATGTACCCTAGGCATGATAGGTGATCACTGCAGATGAACTCAGAAGTACTAAGACCACTAGACCACCAAGGCAACAAGACAACAGAGATGTACCCTAGGCATGATAGGTGATCACTGAAGATGAAGTACTAAGACCACTAGACCACCAAGGCAATTTGACAACAGAGATGTACCCTGGCCTAGGCATGATAGGTGATCACTGAAGATGAAGTACTAAGACCACTAGACCACCAAGGCAATTAGACAACAGAGATGTACCCTGGCCTAGGCATGATAGGTGATCACTGGAGATGAAGTACTAAGACCACTAGACCACCAAGGCAACAAGACAACAGAGATGTACCCTAGGCATGATAGGTGTGCAGTACTATATAATTACTTTAGAATAAGTATGGGAACAAATTCTAGTTTAAGATTTATTTTACAGTCCTTTAAGTCACGTGTATGAACAAAACTATTAGCCATTCACAAACAACCAGCTTGTTATAAATATCAAGATCTCTGTGATAATGTTTTCAAAGCATCCAACACTTGATCTTTTGTCATGTTGGATAATGGTAGGCTATGTTCTTTTCCAAATTCTGTAAAGAAAAAAAAGATAAAATTAGCATACATGTGCCATCATCTGTTACAAGCTTTACACATATCAATTTAACATTATAACATAAACACATGTACACCCCTCAAATGTAAGTACATATTTGTTATTGTTCTTTTCAAAAAATATAAATTATATCACAATATTCACAAAAGTGTGCTAAAATGTGATATCATAAAAATATATAAGGAAACCATTATGAAAACAGAAAATAGGAAATGATTAAAGTTTTAAAATAAAATACAAGATAATTATTTTCAAGGTATTTTTTTTTTTAGATATTGTCAACAAATACTCTAAAACATTTAAATAATAAATATAACAAGAGTGTGCATGCTGAAATATCTCGCCTGTTTTACTGACCATTAATCTTATGTTGAAAATATTAAAGATAAAGGTTTTACTACAAGTATCACATAAACTTAACATTTTTAAAGATCCATGACAATGAGGTCAAGGTCGGATAAAAACTGACCCACAGACATGTACACCTTACAATTATTCAATAAACCAAATATAGTTGACCTATTGCTTATGGTAATTGAAAAACAGACTAAAACACACAAAAAATAATGTTAACCAATGAACCATGGAAATGAGGTCAAGGTCAGATGAAACCTGCCAGTCTGACATATACCCCTTACAATCATTCCATACACCACATACAGTTGACCTGCTGCTTGTAGTATCTGAGAAAGGGAACTTATCACGTAACTTTAACCTTGATCACTGATCCATGAATTGAGGTCGAGGTCAGGTTAACCCTGTCTGACGGACATGTAGACGTTGCAAGGAACCCATATACCAAATATAGTTATCCTATTACTGATAATAAGTGAGAAATTCACATAACAAAATAACTGTAATTCTTTTTCAAGCAGTCACTGAACCATGAAAATGAGGTCAAGGACAATTGGTATATGACAGACGGAAACTTCGTAACATAAGGTATCTGCATACAAGGTATGAAGCATCCAGGTCTTCAACCTTCTGAAATATAAAGCTTTACACAAATAGTTTACGCCGCCGCCGGTTTGTAATACCTATGTCTCGCAAAGACCAGGCTACAAAAATAAATGCATTATAGCATTAAATTAAATCAGTTATCTCTTCAATAAATAAATGGATATCAAATACCCTTCAATTTTCTTAAATATGTGAAAATTGAAGTCATGTCTTCATTTATAATATAATAAAATGCTTCGCTGGGCGCAGCTTGATACAACCGCAGAGGTCGACCCTGAACAGTTGGGGCAAGTATGGACACACTATTCAAACTTGATACAGCTCTAAATTTGGATTGTGATTAAATATTTGACACAGCATAGGTTTCTGACACAGAATGAATGTGGTCTAAGAACTTAAAACAATTTAATTTACCTATCATGGTCCAATATCCAAAATATAAATACATACACGGTTAGATTCAGCATATCAAAGAACCCCAAGAATTCAATTTTTATTAAAATCAAACTAAGTTTAATTTTGGACCCTTTGGACCTTAATGTAGACCAATTTGAAAATGGGACCAAAAATTAAGAATCTAAATACACGGTTAGATTCAGCATATCAAAGAACCCCAATATTTCAAGTTTTGATGAAATCATACCATATGATTATTATTTGCTTTTATATATAAATAAAAAATAACCAACTTAAAATGGAAAATTTTAAAGCAAAAAAAAGAAAAAAAAATCCCCCCCCCCAATTTTTTGAACCCCCTTATGATTCATAACCCCCAAACTCAATCCCAGCCTTCCCTTTATGGTATGGTACCTTGCAGTACAACTTCAGAGAGATGCATACACTTGAACACAAGTTATTGTCTGGAAACTGTAAAAATGCTTGTTTTTTTGCCCCTTTTTTGCCCCAATCCCAAACGTTTAGGGCAATTACCCCCAAACTCAAACCCAGTTTTCCCTTTGTGATATGGAACCTTGTAGTACAATTTCATAAAGATCCATACACTTACACACAAGTTATTGTCCTGAAACTAGAAAAAATGCTTGTTTTTTGCCCCTTTTTTGCCCCTAATTCCTAAAATTTTAAGGCAATTACCCCCAAAATCAATCCCAGCCTCCTCTGTGGTATGGTACCTTGCAGTACAATTTCAGAGAGATCCATACACTTAAACACAAGTTATTGTCTGGAAACTAGAAAAATGCTTATTTTTTGCCCCTTTTTCCTAAACGTTTTGGGCAATTACCCCCAAACTCAATTTCAGCTTTCCCTTTGTGGTATGGTACCTTGCAGTACAATTTCAGAAAGATCCATACACTTACACACAAGTTATAGTCATGAAACTAGAAAAAAGCTTGTTTTTTTACCCTTTTTTGGCCCCTAATTCCTAACATTTTGAGGCAATTACCCTCAAAATCAATCCCAGCATTCCCTTTGTGATATGGAACCTTGTGGCACAATGTCAGAGAGATCCATACACTAACACACAAGTTATTGTCTGGAAGTTACAAAAATGCTATTTTTGGCCCCTTATTCCTTATCTGTTGGTACCATAACCCCCAAAATCAATCCCAACCTTCCTTTTGTGGTATTGAACCTTATGGTAAAATTTCATTGAGATCCATTCACTTAAACTAAAGTTATTGTGCGAAAACCAATGTGTCTTCGGACGATGACAACGCCAACGTCATACCAATATACGACCGCAAAATTTTTTGCAGTCGTATAAAAATTTGTGTGAATTAATTTTACTTCTATTGTATTACATTACTTTTATTAGGCAAAACTTCACTGGGATGCCACAATTTTAAAGTCTATACCCTCATATTAGCTTGAAAAGCAAAACTTTAAAATTGCTTCAGAAGGTGTATTCAGAAGTTGAACATAGCATTTAGACTTTTAGTATAATAACATACTGTGCTATCTCTAAAATGGAAAAATCCAAAGCATTGTAAACTTTATGTAAAGATGAATGTCAAAACTACTAGCAGATTAAGTATACGTTTAGTGAAACAAGAGTGCACACGCTGAAATGTCTCGCCTGCTTTACTGACCATTGATTTTACATAGAAAGTCTTAAAGAGATAAAGGTTTTACATTAAGTATCACATAAACTAAACATTTTTAAATATCCATGGCAATGAAGTCAAGGTAATCCTGTCAGACAGACATGTACATCTTACAATTATTATTCAATATACCAATGCAAATATAGTGGACCTATTGCTTATGGTAATTGAATATAGTTGACCTACTGCAGTGCTTATAGTATTTGAAAAACAGACCAAAAAACAAAAACATATCATTGACCAATGAACCATGAAAATGAGGTCAAGGCAAGATGAAACCTGTCAGACTGACATGTACCCCTTCCAATCATTCCACACACCACATATAGTTGACCTACTACTTATAGTATCTGAGAAACAGACCTTATCATGTAACTTTAATCTTGATCACTGATCCATGAAATGAGGTTGTTGACAGGTGAACTCTGTCCGACAGATATGTATGTAGACGTTGCAAGGAACCCATATACCATGTATACCAAATATAGTTATCCTATAATACTGATAATGAGTCAGAAATTCACATGACAAAAAAAACTCTATTTTTTTTAAAACAGTCGCGCTTATTTAACCTGACCATGTGCATTATTGACAGTTCTAAACAAAGAAACCTGGTTGTTTCTTGTTTATTCAATTTATTTTGATCTTTCTTTTGATTAGTTTCACATTAATTTTTGGGCAAGGTAACATTTTACAGCTTGCTTTAGGTCATTGTTCAATGTTGCATGGTGAATTTGAGTTGTTCCTCTTTTCAGTGACTTTAGGAGGGCTTAACTGTCAACTTCACCTCACTCTTAATTATAAAAAAAACTTTAATGTCAGTCTCATTTTTTGGTGAAGCACAGAGATTCTCAAAATTGTCATGATTGTAGCCTCCAAAAAATAATACTTTTGTCATGTTTGTTGTATCTCTAAAGATTGTTTTGATAAATCTTGTGTTGCTGACTCATTAGCACACACTACATACCCTCTTTCATCTTGTTTATTCATATAAAAACTGATTGTCTGTAGTAAAATCTTTAATACCTCTGGGTAATGTTTTATTTACTTTGCTTTTTAGCCGACATTTTTTTCACCCCTTGAAGTAAAATAAAAAGAACCCTTACCATATCTGGCATACACTTTTGGTTGTACTCCACTGCATTCTCTAATTAAGATAGGAAATTTAGGATTGCTCTGCTTAACACCAACATAGAAATTCTCTATGAACTCTCTGAAATAACCAAAAAATAGAATGAATACCACAAATAAGTAAATATATTTTGATTTTTGTGTCATTGAGACGTTACTTCATCTCCTTTTGCAAGTTTTGTTTATTACATCTGAATATTCATGAAATATTTGCCACTGGACTTCAAGCAAACAACAATCCAACCTTTTATTAAAATCATTGTACATGATGTAATGTTATCTGATGTTAAAGTTCATGTGGACCCTTTGGCCAAAATGGCTGCATTTTCACCTCAAAATTTACACTGAGCTACAGACAAACCTGCATGTTTATCTGGAAAATATTAAGGCATGGCATGCCCTAGGTAAATAAAATTCAAATATATTTTGTGTTTTAGAAAATTAAAAACTTAACAGGATTTTGCAATGCACTTTTTTTCATTCCTCCAGAAGGTGCAAAAATAAACTAAGTTGTGAAAGAGGTTTGAGAACTTCCCCACAGGTAATAGTTGAAGTGAACTGTATTGATTGACATGGACAATAGATGCCTAACAATAATTGGTGATTTAAACTGTGTACCTGAGTGGACCATATCAAGTGAAACTAAACTGTTTGTTAATTTTATCATCTTCTGCAGGGACACAAAAAAGTGCACTGCAAAATCCAGTCGTTTTAAATTTTCAAAAACATAAAATGCATTTGAATTTTATTTATCCAGGGCATGCTATGCCTTTAAACTTTTCCAGATGCACAGGTTTTTCTGTACTCAGGGTAAATTTTGAGGTGAAAACGCAGACATTTTAGCCAAAGGGTCCACATGAACCTTAAGAGTTCATGGTGGTGTAATGTATCAATCGAGTTATACCACACAGCAGACTTGGTGAACATACTATATGTTCTATACACTTAAAGAGGAATCCACAGACTATGAGTCTATGTATAAAGCAGGTAACAGGAAAGTTTAATTTTACTTTTGCAGCTCCTTTCATCTCAGTTTGTTTTAGTCATTTTTTGTATTTTTCTTTTTATACGAAAGGCTTCCTCTTGAAATATTGGAAGCCTGATCAAAGTATAAAAAACTTGTTTCAACAGTTTAAGTAGAAAGTCTTAATTACATTAAAATGGAGATATTTTTGTGAAGGTCACAGTTTATGTTTGGCAAGTCTTCCAATAGAAATCACATTGTAAGTTGATTTGCAAGAAATGAGCTGCTTATGGTACTCTAAATATAAATTTAATGTATAAGGTTTAAACCTGACGCCCTGACTTGCAGCAGATTTCTGGCATAAATGAATTCTTAGCTCTTTTAAACTCTGACCAAAGCGGAGTGCTTTAGCAGACGCCATTTTCTGTTGGTTAATAAAAATATGATAAAAAGATAAAACGAAGATATTTATATTGAAGAGATGTATAATAAATACTGATGTTTTTATTTAAAATAAATTTTTTATATATTATTCATTAATATTGATAGTGATACTGAACATAAAAATGACGATATTCCTTTACTCCTGTTACTTGGTTATGTTCGCTTTTTAGTAAAATCTTAAATTTGTATTAACGAAACTATGGATGATTTTGTACACTTCCGCTGAAATTCCACTTTTACGAAAAATAATTTAACATCGTATATTTCAATGAAATGATCTCTAACTTAAAACTATACTCATCTAGACATTGAAAATACATTCATTTTCTTTTAGAAAATGCCGTCTTACATAATAGCCAATCAGAAAATGTATTGATTAATCTCAAAGTAAATCGAAAGTAATGAAAGAAAAATAAATTTATCAAAAAGTAAATAAACATGGAAAAATATACCAAAATTAAAAGTATAGGCGAAGGAGCATTTGGTAAGGCATTGCTAGTGAGGGATAAAAGTAATGGTCAGCAGTATGTTGTTAAAGAAATTCCAATGTTGCGGGTACAGTATTGACATTGATCTACTTTTAAATTTTATAGTCTATAGACTAATGAGTATAGAATAGTTTTCACTTGGTAGCTATTCTACCAATTAATAATTATTTTGCTACTTTTGGACGCACATGAAAATAATTTATAAGGAAAAAGAGAGGATTGTCAATGGCGGATCCAGAAATTTTCATAAGGGGAGCCCACTGACTGCCTAAGAGTGGGCCCGCTCCAGTCATGTTCATGCTTCAGTGATTCCCTAAATAATCAACCAAAATTTTCTCACAAAAGGGGTGGGGGTGGGTGGCCCCTGCCCCCCCCCCCCCCCCCCCCCCCCCCCCACTAAATCCGCCTCTGATTGTGCTTATCAATTTATGTACATTGAAGTTAAAAACATCCTAAGCGGTGGTCTAAATCCTCTCATGTAGGTGGGTCTTGAAACATTCAAGTCTACCAGCACTGATGATGGCATCTGGTAGGGGGTCCCAGTCTCTAATTGTTCTTGGGTAAAAAGATTCTTTCCTCTCTTCAATGTTCAGTTCTACACAATGGTACTTTGAAACTGTTGATCTTTATGTAACTTGAAAGTCTGTCTGGTGGAGTGAGAATGTTTTCTGTGTCAATATTGACCATCCTGTCGGCAAATTTGTACATCATTGTAAGTCTGGATGTTTTCTTTTGATCATCAAAGGTTTTCCTATCAAGTTGGTTAAGCATGTCACTGACAAATGAGGTGTTGTGATATGACATATCTTGCTGCTCTTCTTTGTAGCATTTCAAGCCAGTGCTTGTTGTTCTGCTGGAAAGGGTCCCAGGCTGTGCATGCATAATCAAATGTTGGTCAAAATAAAGATTTGAATGCAGATTCCTTTATGGTCACATTGGTGGAGTATATGGTGTTGTTAATATTGAGGTTCTGTTTAAAAATCCTATCATCCTATGGTTTTGTTTGCCATGTAACATTATTTTGTGTAATGTGTAATATTTGTCACCTTACCTAATTTGTTTAAGATTTGAAAGTCAAATCTCTTGAAAGGAGGGTCCATTTCTCTCCCAACAGGATTACAAATCTGGCCTGTTGATCAGCAGCACTCGGGTACACTACATGTATTTAATAATTCAGAAATTAAAGCATGTAAGTTTACAATAACCATGATAACTAATTTGATGGTATATGTATTGCTGTTGAACATCTTGAAAGGAAACATTAAAATAAAAAAAAACAGCTTTTAGTGTAAACCAAAAATTTATCTGTATTAAGTTCACAGGGGTACATCATCTTTAAAAACAATGATTGTTCCACATATTTTGTTGACCAAAAGAGACCATTAAATAGATAGCAACTTCGTTATTGATATTGGATGTCTTTTTTCAGTCCATTTCACCTCCTTTGTGGCTTCTTGGTAGCATGCATGCTAACCTATAATTGTAGGAGGTTGTGGGGTATTCTATTTGTAGCTTCTATAGCCATGAAGCCTTAAAAAGTTAGATCATAATTGTTTTATTTAGGAATAATATGTTTTGGTTAGATGATATGTCTTATAAGTTATATTATAACATGGTTAATAACCTGACTCATGGTGTCAATAAAGTATGTTAAAAGCAGGAAAATTTTTACATGTATCTATGCATATTAAATGTAAATTTGCTGCTTGTTGTTATTGTCAATCAATGTTGTTTTGAGATCTTTAGTTGGATCTTCTCATTTCTTGGATAAAAGGAACTGTCTTTAACAGTTAAATTCATATGGTAAGAATAATTTTATTTGTTTCCTCAGATGAAAGCAAAGGAAAGAGAAGATGCTAGAAAGGAGGTAAATTACTTTACACAAGTTTGTTGTCTTTTATGAATATATATTTCAATCTAAAATTCCTTTATATCAAATATAAGGTCAGCCAAGTCAAAAATGCAAGTATACAATTCTTTGAAAAAAAACATATTCCATATATAAAGCTACAATCTGTAAGTCCAGTAATTTAAAATTTCCTTGAATGTAACCTGTCAGAATTGATAAATTTTAACAGCCTAGATATCGTTTTTTCAGATATTGAATATGATGTTAAATCAAAGTTATTCAAAATTAAATTTTCATAACATATTTAATAATTGTCTATCAAACTGAACTCTTTTGAATGTTATGTTTGACCTCTTTAACATGTTTAAAAAGTGAAGAAGAATCTTTGTTATAACAATATGAACAAGGAGATGTGGAGATATATATCTCAATTAAGAAAAACCATATAACTTTAGGAAAACACATAGGATACATTTAAATTTATTAAACATTATTTTCATATAATATAATATATGCTGTAAACATGGTAAATGCACAAAGTGTGTACATTTGTTAATGTGATTGTTGATCAATGAACAAAAATGAGACATTTGCTCTTTCATTGTCAGAAACATCTTTATGCAATTGGTAAATCATGTCAAAAGAATATGATATTCAAGTGCTAATTTATATGATATAAAAATGAGGAGATGTGGTATAATTGCCAATGAAACAACTATCCACCAAAGTTCAAATGAAGTGGATGTAAGCAATTACATGTATTTTGTCTTTTTTCTTGATTAGCAGAAATATCTTGTTTTCTAAAGCATTTAAAGATTGACGATTAAAAAAACTTCTGCACCTAACTACTATGTTTTAAATTATTGACAGGTTTCAGTACTGGCCCAATTACATCACCCAAATATTGTACGATACAGAGAATCATTTGAAGGTAAGAGTATTTTATTTTATCTATATGGCATATTGAGACACTTTGATCAGTACAATATTCAAAACTGGAATAATAGCCAGAATCTTCTGATCTATTTTCTGCACAAAATTTATATAGGCGTCTTAGTAGATTTTAACAACTGTTTTTAATTTACAGTGAAATAAACATGGCAATGTAACATTTTTCATTACATATTGTAATGTCCATGGATTTGTTCCATCTATCTTAGTCATCTCTTTTATCATGACTTATCAGCTGGACTTGAACTTGAGCAAATCACAAGGTGGACCTATGCTTAAGTGTGTGCAGTATTGGTCAGTGGTCATTTGTATTTGGCAAAACTTTTAGGAATTTTTGGTCCTCAATGCTCTTCAACTTCGTACTTTATTTGGCCTTTTTAACTTTTTTTTATTCGAGCGTCACTGATGAGGATTTTGTAGACGAAATGCGCGTCTGGCGCAAATACAAAATGTCAATCCTGGTATCTATGATGAGTTTATTTGTATTAAATTGTATCTTACATGTCTTAATGCAATATTTTTATTTTTCAGAAAAGGGATGTTTACATATTGTTATGGACTATTGTGAGAAAGGTAAGTTTTACTGAAACTTTTGGAATATGATAAGTACTGCTTCATGTTCATGATTTGATGGAATTTCACTCTTAGAAAATTAGTTGTATATGTAAACATATGAACAACTCATACTCATTTTTTCAATGAACACATTGTGCTAATTTAGGATTCCTTTTCCATGTCAAATCAACAGGGTTGTAAGAATGATCTATGTACATGTTCCAAAAGAGTTTTGGGAGCTGTTGATTTGTCCTTGTTAGTGTTTCTGGTTTTGATAAGTTATGACTCAAAATTGCTTTCCTTGAAACAAATGAGTTATGGTGTAGTGTATCAATAATATTCATTATTGCATTCTTGTAAAATATTTATTTAGAATGCAACACAATTTTATTGCAAATCAACAACAACAACAAGTTGAAATTTACCTTCGAATAGTTTTCCTGAATTTTGAATACTGTTGATTCATTTTTATTCATGGTTTACCAATTTTCGTGGGTCACAGCAAACCATGAATTTAAGAACTCAACGAATAATAATGCTGATAAATATGTATCTTGTTGAATGTTTATTTCTGGTCATGTTGTGTGCAATTCTAGTATATTGATGACTTGCAATAAACATGGTAACAAAAAATGTGTTATTGAAATATAGATATAAAAGTATATTGATTAAATAAATAAAAAAATCTTTAGAATACCAGTGAGAATTTAATTGTTTAAATGGATTAAAATCGTTCATGGAAATAACTTCAATTGTTAATTAATGTGTCATAATTTGGTTGATTGGTTATTACAAATCAAAAGCATTAAGTACAGGACATTGCCCGTAGCTAATAATGTTTCGGACAGGAACATTAAATTTCACACCTTTGACTTAAACAAAAAATGTTGACAAACAAAATAAGATAGCACAAGTTTTTTCAATTAAAATGTCGGTAAATTGCCGTGTAAGCATTTCTGGGTAAAGATTGCATGAAATGCAATCAAAACCCTATGTTACTGACGTGATATCTATATCTTCCAAGGTTGATCACTACCTTTGATAGGTCAAACAAAATAGTACAGTGAAGTGGTCATTATTTAGATCCTATCCAGTTAATGTCATGCAATTTATAGATGATATATTATACTTTGATATTTAAGTTACATTATGATGTGTATTTGAATTACCATACCTGTCAAGAAAACATTTTTTATTAAGCATGTATTTTTATTCATTCTGGACAAAAACAACTTTTTTTTTCCAAATAAAATTTACTCACATGTAAAACCAATCATAAGCATGTTTCTTACTCTTGATAATTTTCTAATGACTGCTTATTCTGTCCTGATTAGGGAAAATAGCTTTCAATCAGTTGTACATCAAAGGGCTTTGAATACCTTATAAAATTTTGACAAGAAATTATAAATTGTAAAACAAACAAATGATTAGTTGCCTTTGTCCATGCTTGTAATCAAAGTTTTAAATGAACACTTGAACCTAGAATGACCGAGCGACAATAATGACACTTTAAACCATTTTCAATGAATTTCTATCTTTTGTTTTATTATTATTCAAACAGATATTCAAGAATTTATGTAATTGAAACACTTTTTAAAATTTTTGAAACAGCAATCCAGGAATTTATGTATCCCATGAAATGTCATTTTTTTCTGTATCCATGAAATCGGATACCCACAAAAATAAATAAATCCACTGTACAATCTGAAAATTTATCTTTTATGCCAACAATTTAGATTTCACAAACATGACTGCATTTTTTTCAGGTGACCTATATCATAAGATCAGTAGCCAGAGAGGTATCCTTTTCCCTGAAGACCAGGTAAGCCAATGTTTATAATAGTATTCTCAGTAAAACATGCATAAGAGAACTGGATATGGAAGTTGTGCATGCTTTTCAGTGGAAATAATTATTAATATGTAAAACCAACTAGAATCTAAAAAGAATAGAGGATGCAGATGGGAAACTTTTCTCATTTGATTAGGGATCATAGATTTATTCTTACGAGCAAGCTCCGAGCATGCTGGGAGGATGCTCGGAGCTTTTTAAGTAGGCTCTTCTCAGCAGTTAATGTGACAATAATTATCATGATCCATCAATGATGTCAATCAAATCTACACCACTTCTATGATAAGGAAAGTAGAGCATTATAGAGGAAGCTCCATCAACACCTGTGTAAACATCTAATCTATTCAAATACATTTTGCATGAAATTTTACAAAACTATAAAGTAGATTAGAAATTCTTCAACAGTGCTGTGTAATGCTTGGAAAGGAATCTCAAGTCTCCACAAAAAGTAAAAGTCATTTAAATATTTTCTTATTATATTTAACATGTTTAATATTCATTCCTTTTTTTATAATAAAAAAATTCTCAAATTTTATAATTAGATGATATGATTTAAAAATAGTTTATATTATATAATATGCTACATAAAAGTTATCAAGACACAAACAACAGTCAGGTGGCGATACTAAACAAGTAATTTTTTTTAGTCCCTTTTATAAGTATTTTTTGTTTTTAAAAATTATTTAATAACTCAATAGTTATTTTAAATGTCAAATAAAGCATGGACTAAATGTAGTTTTTAAGATTTTTATATCATTTCATTAAATAAAATTAAGTATTTATCCAATTTTAGATGAGTATATATAGAGAGGTTACTTTAAAAAATAATGACAAAAATATTACTTTAATAAATTATTTTATACAACTTCAAAAAACTTAGTACTTACAATTATTTAAGGAATATATGTAATTGCTTTTGATTAAGATTCAAATTATAAATAACTTCAAGTCTTAATTAAAGGTTCCATATCTAGTTATAACTGTCTATCTCTAAGATTTCAAGGGGAAATGATATTTTAATAGCCCCAAGAGGCCAATCTTTGACCAAGAAGTGTGGCATCAGAAAAGCAATTAGTGCTTGTAGAGGGTTTAAATAGTTTTACCAGTATATTTCATGGGGAAAATAACCAGATGTCTGTGAAAATTTGTTAAAGCTAGTAAAACCTGTATGAATGGACACCTATAAAAATAATTTTAACAGAAGTTACTTATTCATGATATAGAAGTAATATTTGAAACAGCCTCAATTTTCAACATAACTTGTATAGGTAATTTTGAAAATTACTTGTTTAAGTAATGCCCCTAACTAAACAATGGTAATATGTTTTTTTAAATAGCAAACTTAGTTCTTTTATAGAAAGTTATGGCTACTTTAAGAAAAGTTGAAGCCTGGTTTGAGGGGGTAACACCACCATTGTTTTCCCTCTAGTACGTCTCTCTTTACTTGGCATTTTTTTTTAATTGTGCAGATTTAGCTTTGTTTTAAATAAAGAAATACTTGGCATGAGTAAAATTATTTTCCCCCTATAAGTCTTTGTTTAATTGTCAGGATTGTTATATTTTATATTTCAAAAAAAATGTGCAGAATTTATCTATGTTTTGAATAAATAAATACTTGACATAAATAAATGTCCTGTACTACAGTGAAAATATAGCATAACTTTTCAGTGCATATAAGAAAGTAAACATCACCAGAAGTTAACCAATCAAATTCTCTCCCCCTTTTTTCCCTGTAGAATATAGTAAATTTTTATTGCTTTGAAACACCCAAGAAACATGTTTACGACTCAAAAAAAACTTTTCTGCAATGAAATGGAGGGTTAATTTCAAACAACTGTCAAATTAAATGGAATATAAAAAGATCAACCCTTTTTCGCATGAAACTGAATGTACTATGTTTTGGTAGTATGGTTATAAATCAATAACCATAGTTTGTGTCTTTGATGACTTTTATATTTCATTTTATATAGTATAAATTTCAAATATATTTAAATTTCAAATATAAAATTTGAGTGTTTTTTTGTATCATGTGTATTGAAAAAGAATGATAATTATTAAGAAAATGTTTTAAAATCATTTTCTTTCTGTGAAGACTTGATACCAAGCATTGTACAGTAATATTGAAGAATTTCTCATCTATTTTATAGTTTTGTAAAATTAATGCAAGATTTGTTTGAATAGACCAGATGTTTACACAGGTGTTAATGGAGCTTCCTCTATAATGCTCTACTTTCCTTATTATAAAAGTGCTATAGATTTGATTGACATCTTAATGGATCATGATAATTATTGTCACATAAACTGCTGAGAAGAGCCTACTTCAAAAGCTCCGAGCATCCTCCGAGCATGCTCGGAGCTTGCTCGTAAGAATAAATCTATGATCCCTTATTTGTGTTGTCATGTTGCTGTCTCATTGAAAATGTCCACATGATTCAGTCTGATTAAAAAAAAATGAATATTTGAGATCATAATTTTGAAAAAGGATAAGGTTAGGGCTTAACAAATTCATCAAGAGTTAATGGATGTTGATTGAAATAATCAATGTACCATGGGAAGTGTGCTAACCTAAACATACCAAAGTCATACTTTTTTGCTCTTGAAAATGCAAAAATGGCTGTCACTTTTATGCTCACATCTACTTCACATGCATGATAAAGAGCCATACCCAAAACTTTATATTGTATTATTTGTGATGCATGATAAAGAGCCGTACCCAAAACTTTAATTTGTATTATTTGTGATGCATGATAAAGAGGCTTACCTTTAATTTTTATTATTTGTGATGCATGATAAAGAGTCTTACCTTAAATTTGTATTATTTGTGATGCATGATAAAGAGCCTCACCTTTAATTTGTATTATTTGTGATGCATGATAAAGAGCCTCACCTTTAATTTGTATTATTTGTGATGCATGATAAAGAGCCTCACCTTTAATTTGTATTATTTATGATGCATGATAAAGAGCCTCACCTTTAATTTGTATTATTTATGATGCATGATAAAGAGCCTCACCTTTAATTTGTATTATTTGTGATGCATGATAAAGAGCCTCACCTTTAATTTGTATTATTTATGATGCATGATAAAGAGCCTCACCTTTAATTTGTATTATTTGTGATGCATTATAGGTAATGGATTGGTTTGTACAGATATCACTAGCCATAAAGTATGTCCATGACAGGAAAATTCTTCACAGAGATATCAAGACACAGGTACCTATATGTTATTATAAAACTTCAATGAACATGCTCAATGATCAATACACCCTAAACTATAAAGGAAACATCAGAATAAAAAAACGTAACTTACACATAAGTTAATGTAAGTAAAGAACATGTTATGCATTTGGGTTATCTCCCATTGAACATAGAAAACATCAACTGAAAAGTTGCTACTGTAAAATAAAAACCATTGCTCATTATAGATCCATTAAACTCATATCTGGTCAGTCCAGAACTTAAGTAAAGTATATGGTGCTTCTCCATGTGTCTTTACTATATACATTGTAAGGAAATTGATTATACATCACCACCCAATACAGTGTAAATAATGCCATATTATAAACAGCTTGTAAAAACATTCCTAAATGAATCAAAAGAAAGGCGAAGGATACCAAAGAGACATTCAAACTCATAAGTCGTAAATAAACTGACAACGCCATGGCTAAAAAAGAAAAAGACAAACAACAGTACACAAAACACACATAGAAAACCAAAGACTGAGCAACACGAACCCCACCAAAAACTGGGGGTGATCTCAGGTGCTCTAGAAGGGTAAGCAGATCCTGCTCCACTTGTGGCACCCGTCGTATTGCTCATGTTAGTACAAACCTGGTGATTAGTTTAATGGGATAGTTCACAGTTGGGGAAAAGGGGACAGGATTGTAGTTACGACAACTGGAACATATCTGTTGTCATCTGTGAAACAGATATTCCATAACGGTCAACCAACTCGTGATAGCGTCCGTAAAATTTATGAAGGGACGATTTCAGCTGCTCAGCTCGGAACTCCTGGTTTAATAGCTTCCTTGTGAGCAGCAACATATTACATGTATTTACTATTGATTAGTGAATATCTGATTTATTTTAGATTTGAATTAGTCAATAAATAAAATATTCTACGATTGCCTGAATAAACCAAAGACATTGCATTCATAATTAAAATGTTCAAACACTGAATTAGTATGAGTAGTAACAAGTGGTATAGTCTGGTCGAATACAAACCATCAATAAATAATACTATTAGGTTTGGAGGTTCGTCAGATGAGATGACAGATGAGGCTGCTTTGCATTTCCTTCAAATAGTCTTATATGGTATTGTTTAATAGTCTAGTTCAAATATTGAGAGCATTTGAATTAAAGAAAAATGTGTACATATATTCTAAATTGATGTTAGATATTTTTTCCTCCACAGAATATATTTTTAACAGCAAGTGGACTTGTCCAGCTTGGAGATTTTGGAATTGCTAAAGTTTTAGGAAGGTAAAATCAATTAAATCAGCTGTGAACAATAAAATTTAGAATGGAAACGAGGTATGTGTCAAAGAGACAACAACCCAACCAAAGAGCAGAAAACAACTCAAGGCCACCAATGGGTCTTCAACACATGGAAAAAATCTCGCATCAGGAGGCTGGCTTTAGCTGGCCCCTTAACAAAAATGTATACAAGTTAAAAAAAATGGACGTCACACTAAACTCCGAAACATATAAATGAACCAAAATTAAAAACCATACAAGACCAACAAAGGCCAGAGGTTCCTGACATGGGACAGGCGCAAAAATGAACCCGAACATAACCTGTATCATGTCAACAACTGGTTTTAGAATAAATGTGTTTATTTCCGATGCAAAGACCCTATGAGTGAATCAATATTAATTCCAAAAAATGCCATCTTTAATGACCTGACAACAGTGTCGTTACTATATCCCTTATGAATAAGTCTGTTTAAAGGTTTGGTTAGCTTTTGAGGTGAATGATGACTTTTTGTGTGCTTTGTATAGAATATTACCATAAAAGATGGGATGTGAAATACCCGAACGTATAAGGTGTCTGCACATTGATTTTTATTTACGATTGATATCCTTGTACCGATGATAAAATTTAGTAAATGTTTTGACTAGTTTGTGATATCGAAAACCCTGGTGTAGTAATTTGTCAGTAATACAGAGATTTCTTTCGTTAAAATCAAATACGTTGCTACATGCACGAGCGAATCGAACAAGTTGAGATATATAAACACCATAAGATGATGAAAAGGGAACGTCACCATCTAAAAATGGATAATTAACAATAGGAAATGAAAAATCATCTCTTTTATCGTAAATTTTGGTATAAAGTCTTTTTGTCTACCATGCCATGTGAAAACATTTCTAGTTCTCAGATTCTGTTCTTCAGCAGTAAATATGCTGCTTGGTTGGTTGATTAGTTGATTGTTGCTTTTAATGCCACTTTGCTAGCTTGAACTTTTAGCTGAGGAAAACTTGTATTAAATATGTTTTTATAATTTTTATTGCTGTCAGAATGGTGAATGAGTGATAACAAATGTTATATACAATACTTATTACCACAAAATTCAGATCATGTTCGAATAAGGGTGGCGTCACTTTTACTGTTCTTGAGTTATGTCCCTTTATAGCTTTATATGCAAGCGGGAGCACCATCTGTGTCCCATGGACACATTCTCCATTTATTTATAGTATAGTTTAGAAACGTTTATCTTAAAGAAAACGAAATCAAATTTTAGATATCTCTTTGTTTCAGAAGTAAAAGCAAAATGGCTGAATGGAGACATGTATTTTTTTATGTAAAACCTTGCATTGTACATAATGCAGCTTATGTGACTTATTTTGTTATATTTGTAGCACTGTAGAATTAGCAAGGACATGTATAGGAACACCATATTATCTTTCTCCTGAAATTTGCGAAAACAGGCCATACAATAATAAAAGGTGAGATTCTTAATGGCAGATTATTGTCCTGAATACTTGCCACTGGACCTTATGCAAATAAACAATCAATTGTGCATCAGATTGAATTGTTATTTAATTTGTACATCTATTGATTGAATCTTAAACATCTGATGATAGCCAGAATCTTACAGAATTTTCTTGTCCCATGAAAAAATCTAGAATTAAACAAAAACAAGATTTCCTTGAAATGCACATAGTATTAGTGGAGTAAACTGTATTCCTTGTTGGTGTTGATGTATCATCAATCATACAAAACTAAGAAAATATGTGATGAATGTTATTGAGACAAAAATCTTGTGATACTAGATAATAATCAATTTGTCAAATGAGCAACCCTTTTAATGCTATTCTTGATCTTGAAGGTTACTGGTTTTTTGGTAATAATTATAAAGGTAGACATGTGCAAATGTTTACAAGCTTTCAATATAGTCAGTGTTAGATAGAAAACATTTGAACATTTAAAAAAAAAATTTTGCTGAACCGACAGCTCTGATAAGGTTGACTATTGTTGAAATGTTTATTTTATGTTTTTTGATTGTTTTTGTAGTGATGTGTGGTCCCTTGGTTGTGTTTTATATGAAATAGCAACGTTAAAGCATGCAGTGAGTATCTGTTATGTTATTATAGGTATTATCATCAGCAAGACCTCCTTTCCACCCCCTTATTGTATTCTATCAATATAGGGAGGTTAAACAGTGTTCAGAAAACTTATTTCCGTTAATGTTATTTCAGAAAAAGACGGAAGATAGTATTTGATTTATAAGTGAATACAGCATTAAATTTGCATCACTAAAATCAATATAAAATAATTAAAATTGAAAAAAAAATTGATTTTAATCTGATATCAAGGATTCTTATTTGTATCAATATAACTATTTGATTAATAATTCATGATTTGATTTTTTTATTGATAATTTATCATATTTTTTTAAATGAATTTAAAAATGTTGATTGGAATCTTCAATGTCAAATACATCATTGAATTAATTCAAGTAATAAAAATGTCATGTGCATTCGAAAGAGTCCGGAAAAATTATTCATGGACAAGTTGGTCTATGGCTTATAAGTATACAAGGTGCAATGATTGTCTTTTCTCAATGGATTAAAATTTCATAATTTATTATGTTTAGTATACTAATACTGGTTTACGTCTGTCTGTTCTTCCTTCCATCCATCCCATACTATTTTGGTCACATTTTTCTACCAAGTAACTTACAAATCAGAGCTTCCTGAAACTTGGCATGAAGCTTCATGTGAGCTTGCTTTACTGTGTGATCCATTTTCAGATTAATGACTCATCAACTTCCTGTTTATATGGAATATCATAGCATGATTATAGCAGGGGTCTCATTATTGAGAAAAGCTCACATTTTAATTTGTTTTTACTTTTTCAGTTTGAAGCTGGAAATATGAAAAATCTCGTATTGAAAATTATAAGGTAAGTATGACTGGTTGTTACTGGAAAAGAAAAATACACAGTTCAAAAGCTTAAGTAAAGTTGCTAGATAAATCTATTATATTGAAATATAGGAATAAAAAACTATCATCTATATCCAAATGGAACTTATTGATAATATTTTGAATGTTTCATCTCTTATATGAAAATTTATTGGCATTAGTATTGAAAAATATTTGTATTGTCCAATGAGAATTTATTTTACAAAAACTGTTTTAAAATTTTTTATCTATAGAGCCGATATATATATTATTTGAGAGAATAGTATTCAAAGATTTTGTGAAACTATTAGTATGAAATATAATGAAAACTAAATACTATACTGTAAATCAACAAATTTTTCAAGTGATTTAATTACATTTTAGCAAAAAAAAATCAACAATTGTCATGCTTGAATCTTATCTATATATGAATACATAAAGAATGTTAGAAAATAGTGAAAATGAATCACTGTGAAGTTGGCTAGAAAGGTCAGCCATATCTAAACATGGAGCAAAGTGTCCACAAAAATCTATATACATTTCTAGTAGATAAATGTTGATAAACAGATAAAGTTGATGAACAAGATATTAACAAACTATATTTTTTACTATTTCTTTTGTAGAGGTTCATATCCACCCATATCACCAAAGTACAGCTATGATTTACGAGGGTTGATAGCTAAACTATTTAAAAGAACACCAAAGTATGAATTGTATAATAGATAAGACTAAAAGTTATAGATGCAGATATTAATGCATGGTGTGGTTGATGAAAACTTGTTTGCAATTTGAGAATTTATATTTCATTATTTAATATAGAAATATCTGTTCATGTCCAAAATGAAACATAAGATATAGGTACATTGTCCAGGAACATCACATCTGTTTTAAAATACATTTCCTTATAAACACTGTTTTTATCTTGCAATTTCATATTAATACTTAAAAATTGTTTGGTTTTATAATTCTGACATGAACTGTGGTGTAAACAGTGATTTTGATTTCACAGTTTGCTAATAATAGAAGCAGTATACCAGAAGAAAATATTATTTAAGTTTATATGTGCACCTTTATTGTGATGCTTCGATGGAAGTTGCAAGATGTATAGTTATTTTATACATATATAAAATATTGCACTTTTATGGAATAACTAATATAAGTAAATGGTGATGTGGGACTTTTTGTGTGGTTAACATCAATGACACAGTAACATAACATAACATATCTACAAGTTGACACACACAGTCTTCAACAATATACATGTTATATGTCAAGCTTTTATGTTTTTATATCATACTTTATAACATAAAATAAATTGAAAAAAAGTTGGAGACAATCTTTTAGTATTGTGTTACATATATGCCTATTTTCATAAATAAAACTATTAGGGAACCAAAATAAAAACCAACTTTTCTTCACATAATTTATGTTATAATTGACTTATTTGATTTATGGAATAACTAATATAAGTAAATGGTGATGTGGGACTTTTTGTGTGGTTAACATCAATGACACAGTAACATAACATAACATATCTACAAGTTGATACACACAGTCTTCAACAATAGACATGTTATATGTCAAGCTTTTATGTTTTTATATCATACCTTATAACATAAAATAAATTGAAAAAAAGTTGGAGACAATCTTTTAGTATTGTGTTACATATATGCCTATTTTCATAAATAAAACTATTAGGAAACCAAAATAAAAACCAACTTTTCTTCACATAATTTATGTTATAATTGACTTATTTGATATTTATTTCTATTATTTTCCATTCCAAAGAGACAGACCATCAGTAAATTCTGTATTAAAGATGCCATTTGTTCAAAGAAGAGTGCCGAAATTCTTAACTGATGAAGTAAGTATTACTTGTAATTATGTTAAATGCAATGAATGAAATAATAAAAAATGTCATCATTTGCAACTTTTGATCTGTCACAAATTATAGTCACACTTAGTAGCATTACATTATTCTTTCATTTAAAGTTTATTATCATATTTGATTTAAATATAAGATTTTCAATTCCACAACTTACTGTCATTAGATAGTTCTGAATATTCATGACATGTTTGCAATTGGACAGTGAGTAAACAAAACTGTGATATGGATTTTTTTAGGCACAGATTTAAAGGATAAAATAAATCAAATAAGCTGAGGCTGCACTTTCTCTTTAGGCCTTAAACTAGTTGCATGCAGTTGAAATTAAAAGTGAATTTTTCTAAGCAACTTTGTGATGATCTCCATTTATTGTTAACTTCAGTTGAATAGTAATTAAAGAAATATTCACAATACTGTTGCAGAACTGATAAGAACATTGTGGATTTCAAAACATGCGCAGTACAACACAATTACAATGTGGGTCTTTGACAATCATACCCATTTCCTTATTTTAATTTTACTTGTTAATTTCATTTTATAGCAAATAGCAGATGAATTCAGTCATACAATCATGCATGGTCACAAACTGGGCCACAACAAAGTCAGAGCTGCTCCCAGCCCTAGTCCTGCCTCCAGACCTCCATCAGCAAACAGACCTCCATCAGCAAACAGACCTCCATCAGCCAACAGACCACCATCAGGTAAATAATCAAACACCTTCAGTTTAGGTAGATAATAAGCCATAGTCCTACTGTCAAACCTCCATCATCCAACAGACCCTCGTCAGGTGAAGAAAAGCATTAAAACGATGAATTCCTTTTAAGAGGTTGATTTGAAATCAATATTAAATCTTCAAGCAAAACATTTTGGTGATAAAGGATGCAACAGAAAGCTAGCTGTGAATAGACTGCTTATTTACCCAGTGCCATATTTCCAAAAGACCATATGTGTACCTACAGATGTCTGTTTTGGTTTAAATTTGTTGTTTGGTTGCTGTATCATTGATGCATCCCAATGTCACCTTTTATTCATACTAATATATTTTTATATTTATTGCATTACATAAGACAAGAATCTTTTTTTTTTTAATATATTTAGTTTATAGTATGTTTTTCTGTTTTTACAGCTGGTGTTAAACGACCTCTTCCTGCTAGACCTACCCCGGCTGCTGCTCCTAAGAAATACAATCCAGCTAATGTATATGGTGCTCCAATAGCTAGGAAATCTAATGAAAGGTTTATTATAATACTTCAAGAATTAGTTGGATGCAAAGCCATTACAATTAAATTTAGCTCATACAGCAACAGATGTGTACTGAAAAAAATGACAAACTAGACTAAGGCCAATTTAGATCTTGATTGTAGACACCTTTCCATTGTTGAAGACTGTATGTTAACATGTCTTTGATTATTTGTGTTGTTGGCATGCTGTCTCATTGATATATACCCCACATTTCTTTTATTCATATTTATGGTGCTTTTTAACATTTTCATTGGTGCTGACATAAGGGTATTTACATTGGACTTCTCAAGTCATACGAGCGCTTCGCTGCATGATATTTTTCACATCTATCTTGATTTATTGGATGATTTTGGAATGTAAACAATGGCTGAATTTGTTTTTATTCAATGCCAAAGTCAGGGTAATTTCATTAAAGGAAGTTTGCTGTTGAGTTTTAAAATAACAATGGGTCTAAAGAGTTTTTATTTATTGAAAGACATTTGTTACAGATGTAATATTAAGCCAGAAAAATATGATTTCACTGTGAAAGTATTTTTATAAAAAAAAAAAAAAAAGAGATTTAACAAGATTTTGTTGGGATGTAGTGAAATCATGAAATGAAAATTTGGGATAACCTGGATGATAAAAATTAATTTGAAGTTGTCAAGAATTTTTATTAGTATGTGTATTGAATAAATCAACAATATGTATCAAATATTTTTATTAGCATTAAATCCAATACACATGTGCATATATCCTACATATATCATTTGGCCCAATGCATGGAAATGTTAGCAATGGTCTTATAACTCTCCAAAAAAAATTTGAGATGGTCAATGATAAATATATTAATATCATGCTTTGTTTTGATGATAGATCACAAGACAGGAGAAGACCTGGAAGTGGGAGTGGTCAAAGGCCTCAAAACAGTCAGGTAACAATGATTTTACGCTATACATCAATGTCAATGAAATTCTTTTAGTCACAGAAATATAAGTGAAGCTAAAAATGGTAGAACAGTAGACTCCACCTAATCAAATATTGACTGAAAGAATATATTTATAGTAATATTGTTTCAAAACATCAAACACTTTCCTGTATGTTTAATGTAAATTTTATCGTGTATATGAAAACTGGAACATTTTTTTTCAATAGGACCTGCTTAAGAAGAAAAATGAATTTATAGAAAAAGAAAAGAGAAGAAGGGACGAAATACAAAAGGTTTGAATTATATTTTTATATGTTGTTTTTTATGCTCCCTCTGTATTAAGTGTTACCTTTGACCATCCTTCCGTCCGTCCACCCTTCGGTCCGTCCCATTTTCGTTTTCGCACACTAGCTTGAGGTTTCTTCATCCAAATTTTATGAAACTCATTAACAATGCTAAGAACTAAAACAATCAGACAGAGTTCAAATTTGGGCAGTGAGTCACTTACCGTTCTAGAGTGATACCCCTTTATAACTTGGAAAATTTCCAATTTTTTTGTTTCCACACTCTAAATTTTTCATCATCCAAATTTTATGAAACTCATACACAATGCTTAGAACCAAAACTTGCAGTCAGAGTTCAATTTTGGCAGTGAATCACTTATCATTCTAAAGTTATGCCCCTTTATAACTTGAAAAATTTCAAATGTTTTAGTTTCCGCACCTTTACATAGGTTTGACTCATCCAAATTTTATAAAACTCATACACAATGCTAAGAACCACAACACACAGACGGAGTTTAAATTTTGGCAGTATGTCATTTACTGTTCTAGAGTTATTAGATATAAGAAGATGTGGTATGAGTGCCAATGAGACAACTCTCCATCCAAGTCAATTTATAAAAGTGAACCATTATAGGTCAAAGTACGGTCTTCAACACGGATCCTTGGCTCACACCGCACAGCAAGCTATAAAGGGCCCCAAAAATGACTAGTGTAAAACCATTCAAATGGGAAAACCAATGGTCTAATCTATATAAAAAACGAGAAACGAAAAACACTTATGAACCACATCAACAAACGACAACTACAGAACATCAGATTCCTGACTTAGGACAGGTGCAAACAATTGCAGCGGGTTTAAACGTTTTAATGGTACCAAACCTTCACCCTTATCTAAAACAATAGTGTAACATCACAACATGCCCCTTTTTAACATGAAAAATTACAAAGCTTGAGCGAGGGCATTTGTGTCCTCAGACACATTCTTCTTTTATTTTAATAAACATTTGACAATAGGGAATCAGTTCTCAGTATTTTAGATTGTACTACATCTTTACATTTTTTAAAAGTAACTTCAAATGAATATTCTGAAATATCATATTCATCTGGTAGAAATGAAGTTCACAGTGAAACGATCTCTCATACCTATTATTTTGACTTCCTTGTTATTCATTGGAATAACTTTCCTGTTCTATACTGTTAACACTGTAACAGAATGCTAAAATGTTTCTTATCTTTTTCTAATTTGTGGTTTGGTTTTTAATAACTTTTGATAAATATGACCAATCACAACACATTAGTTGTATGATTTTTTTATTGTACTTTTAATCAATTGATTCAATCTTTTTCATCCCAAACTTCACTTGAAAACAATTTTAAGATTTGGTCTAAAATTTGAAACAGATGTCAAAAATATAATTAAACTATTGCAAGTAATTTTATTTTGTATAGGCAGCTATAGAGAAGAAACACAAGGACCTTATGGAGAAACAGAAGGTATTCTACTAGAATCATTCAAATATACTTATATTTATTAAAATAGAAAATGTGGGGTAAACATCAGTGAGACAGCAACCAAACAACACAAACCAAAAAAATCTTTATAGGATATTTCTAGATAACTCAACCTCATGGCCTGTTTGTTTAATCATAAAAAGTACAGCTTATTTAAAAAAGTACAATTTTCTTGCAGAATATATATATATATCATGTTCAGCAGGGGTAACAAATTTTCACTAGTCATAGAAACTTCTTCCCTAGACTAATATTTTGTGAATACCCCTCCTGAATATGATATTTCTGTTTCATTATACTTGAGAAATTAATTCAATTACATTGGTCATCAATATTGAAATCTGTGTGATACAGTAGTTAGAACTTTATTTACATTGTTATATAAACAGGCAAACAGAATGAACAAAGCTCGGGAGGAAGGATGGAAACAGGTTCTAGGATATTCTGATGATAGTGAGGTATTTATTTCTGTTTTGATAAACAGGTGACTGTTAATTGAAATTCAGCTGCAGTAATGTTAAATCCTCACTGTTGGTACAATCATATATTATAATACAGAATGCTCTAGTAAGGAAATTGTTTGTACAGTGTATTTAAACCAGTTATTAGTCCCCTACTGACAAAGTCGAAGGGGACTTTAGGTTTGCACTCCGTCCGTCTGTCTGTTTGTCCATCTGTCAGTCCGGCAAATCAGTTTTCCAGATTTTTTTTTTTCATGCTTGAAGATATTGATTTGAAATTTGGTTTATTGATTTATCATGACAAGTTACAGGTCAAGTTCAATTTTCACGATTTTAGCTTTTCTCTTTGTTCAGTTAAAGCCCTTTCCCTAGAATTAAATTTTTGATGAAATACTTATTAATTAGTAAATTTCTGTTCAAAGGGAAATAACTCATTTTTTAAAAGATTTTTAAAAGACAAAATGACATTTTAGATTTTATGCCACCGCCGTAGCGGTGGGAACATTAAGTTTTACCCTTGTCCGTCTGTATGTACGTACGTCCGTCCGTACGTCCCAAAATTGGTTTCCGTTCTCTAACTTGAGTTTGCCTCAACCAAATGTTATGAAACTTATACACAATGCTTATTACCACAAAACACAGATCAAGTTTGAATTTTGGTGGCATCACTTTAACCGTTCTAGAGTGATGCCCCTTTATAAATGGAAAAATTGCAAAATATTTAGTTTCCGTTCTCTAACTTAAGTTTGCCTCAACCAATTGTTATGAAACTTATACACAATGCTTATTATCACAAAACACAGATCGAGTATGAATTTTGGTGGCGTCACTTTAACCGTTCTAGAGTTATGCCCCTTTATAAATGGAAAAATTGCAAAATATTTAGTTTCCGTTCTCTAACTTAAGTTTGCCTCAACCAAATGTTATGAAACTTATACACAATGCTTATTACCACAAAACACAGATCAAGTTTGAATTTTAGTGGCGTCACTTCAACCGTTCTAGAGTTATGCCCCTTTATAAATGGAAAAATTGCAAAATTTTTATTTTCTTCTAAATATCAAGTAATTTTTAGCTCACCTGACCTGAAAGGTCAAGTGAGCTTTTCTCATCACTTTGCGTCCGTCGTCCGTCGTCCTGCGTCCGTCGTCCGTCGTCCGTCGTCCGTAAACTTTTACAAAAATCTTCTCCTCTGAAACTACTGGGCCAAATTTAACCAAACTTGGCCACAATCATCATTGGGGTATCTAGTTTTAAAAATGTGTGGCGTGACCCGGTCAACCAACCAAGATGGCCGCCACGGCTAAAAATAGAACATAGGGGTAAAATGCAGTTTTTAGCTTATAACTCAAAAACCAAAGCATTAAGAGCAAATCTGACATGGGGTAAAATTGTTCATCAGGTCAAGATCTATCTGCCCTGAAATTTTCAGATGAATCGGACAACCCGTTATTGGGTTGCTGCCCCTGAATTGGTAATTTTAAGGAAATTTTGCTGTTTTTGGTTATTATCTTGAATATTATTATAGATAGAGATAAACTGTAAACAGCAATAATGTTCAGCAAAGTAAGATTTACAAATAAGTCAATATAACCGAAATGGTCAGTTGACCCCTTTAGGAGTAATTGCCCTTTATAGTCAATTTTTAACCATTTTTCGTAAATCTTAGTAATCTTTTACAAAAATCTTCTCCTCTGAAACAACTGGGCCAAATTAAACCAAACTTGGCCACAATCATCATTGGGGTATCTAGTTTAAAAAATGTGTGGCGTGACCCGGCCAACCAACCAAGATGGCCGCCACCGCTAAAAATAAAACATAGGGGTAAAATGCAGTTTTTGGCTTATAACTCAAAAACCAAAGCATTTAGAGCAAATCTGACAGAAGTAAAATTGTTTATCAGGTCAAGATCTATCTGCCCTGAAATTTTCAGATGAATCGAACAACCTGTTGTTGGGTTGCTGCCCCTGAATTGGTAATTTTAAGGAAATTTTGCTGTTTTTGGTTATTATCTTGAATATTATTATAGATAGAGATAAACTGTAAACAGCAATAATGTTCAGCAAAGTAAGATTAACAAATAAGTCAACATGACTGAAATTGTCAGTTGACCCCTTTAGGAGTTATTGCCCTTTATAGTCAATTTTTAACAATTTTTCGTAAATCTTAGTAATCTTTTACAAAAATCTTCTCCTCTGAAACTCCGTGGCAAAATTAAACCAAACTTGGCCACAATCATCATTTGGTTATCTAGTTTTAAAAATGTGTGGCGTGACCTGGTCAACCAACCAAGATGGCCGCCACGGCTAAAAATAGAACATAGGGGTAAAATTCAGTTTTTGGCTTTTAACTCAAAAACCAAAGCATTTAAAGCAAATCTGACATGAAGTAAAATTGTTTATCAGGTCAAGATCTATCTGCCCTGAAATTTTCAGATGAATCGGACAACCCGTTATTGGGTTGCTGCCCCTGAATTGGTAATTTTAAGGAAATTTTGCTGTTTTTGGTTATTATCTTGAATATTATTATAGATAGAGATAAACTGTAAACAGCAATAATGTTCAGCAAAGTAAGATTTACAAATAAGTCAATATAACCGAAATGGTCAGTTGACCCCTTTAGGAGTAATTGCCCTTTATAGTCAATTTTTAACCATTTTTCGTAAATCTTAGTAATCTTTTACAAAAATCTTCTCCTCTGAAACAACTGGGCCAAATTAAACCAAACTTGGCCACAATCATCATTTGGTTATCTAGTTTTGAAAATGTGTGGCGTGACCTGGTCAACCAACCAAGATGGCCGCCACGGCTAAAAATAGAACATAGGGGTAAAATTCAGTTTTTGGCTTTTAACTCAAAAACCAAAGCATTTAAAGCAAATCTGACATGAAGTAAAATTGTTTATCAGGTCAAGATCTATCTGCCCTGAAATTTTCAGATGAATCGGACAACCCGTTGTTGGGTTGCTGCCCCTGAATTGGTAATTTTAAGGTGATTTTGCTGTTTTTGGTTATTATCTTGAATATTATTATAGATAGAAATAAACTGTAAAAAACAATAAATGTCGGCAAAGTAAGATCTACAAATAAGTCAACATGACCGAAATTGTCAGTTGACCCCTTTAGGAGTTATTGCCCTTTATAGTCAATTTTTAACCATTTTTTCGTAAATCTTAGTAATCTTTTACAAAAATCTTCTCCTCTGAAACTACTGGGCCAAGTTAATTATAGATAGAGATAATTGTAAGCAGGAAAAATGTTCAGTAAATTAAGATGTACAAACACATCACCATCACCAAAACACAATTTTGTCATGAATCCATCTGCGTCCTTTGTTTAATATTCACATAGACCAAGGTGAGCGACACAGGCTCTTTAGAGCCTCTAGTTAAAATTGGAGTTATCTTCCTTTGTCCATGATTATAGTTGAATCAACTACAATCAATGTTTTATCCAATGCAATGTCTAATTTTGACTTCCACTGATAAAACACAGATCAAGTTGAATTTGGGTAGTGTCACTTTAACCATTATTGAGTTATGCCCCTTTATAAATGGAAAGATTGCAAAATTTTTAGTTTCCATTCTGTAACTTAAGTTTGCCCCAACCAAACATTATGAAACCTATACACAATATTCATTACCACAAAACTAAGATCAAGTACAATTTTTTTGTTTCCGTTTTCTAACTTTAGTTTGCCTCAACCAAATGTTATGAAACTTATACACAATGCTTATTACTACATAATACAGATTAAGTACGAAATTTGGTGGCGACACTTTTACCATTCTTGAGTTATGTCCATTTATAAACATAAAAATTGCTGAATTTTTCATTTAGGTTCTCTAACTTTAGTTTGTTTCAACCAAATGTTATAAAACTTATACACAACCGTTCTAGAGTTATGCGTGTTTACAAATAGAAAGATTGCTGAATTTTTAGTTTCTGTTCTCTTCTTAAGTTAGCCTCAACCAAATGTTATGAGACTTACACACAATGCTTATTACCACAAAACTCAGATCAAGTTCAAATTTGGGTAGCGTCACTTTTACCATTCTTCAGTTATGTCCCTTTATAACTATATGATATGCAAGGGGGGCATCATCTGTGTCCACATGTGGACACTATCCACATTTATTTTCCTTTTCTTTGGTAAATTGTTTGAAGAATTTAGTGGTAGGTTTGTTTGTCATTCTTGAAGATATTAATTTGATAATTAGTATATAGTTTTATCATGACAAGTTACAGATCAAGTTGGAATTTTGTTCCAGTCTGATAATTTTGTGCAGAGTTATGGTCTTTGGACATAGAAAATTCACTTAAATAATCAGTTTTCAACAGTTTTTTTCGTCATGCTTGAAGATTTTGACTTGATATTTTTATGTAGTTTACACCATGACAAGTTATAGATCAAGTTAGAATTTCGTTCCATTACAATGAATTTGTAACCGGTAGCGGACTATGTATTGCCATGCAATACTCACAGAATGCTTGTTGACAATACATTCTAGTTGAATTATTGCCTTTAATATGCTGATTTACCAAAATCATTGATATGTTGGGACATTATCTCTGACAATTTAGTTGTTTTGTCTGTGCAATTTTTCAAGAGTTACTCCAATTAAACAGCACAGCATTATTAAGAAGGTCATTTCCAGTGAACATTTTGATCAACGGCTTTCATTATTGTTATATTGATAGTCATCATAAAATGATAAAATAAATAGATATATGATATGGACTAATCAGTGTGTAAATCTGACTAACATTTGATGTTGAATGCTACAGTTGGGACAGCTTTTAATTTTGAAAAATAATACTCTTGAAAATAAGCAAACTGGTAGCTTTTCTGATACTAAAAATATCCTAGTATGAAAATGTTGAAAATTAGATGTAACAGTATCATAGACATTTTAATGCCAAAAATTGCCATAAGAAAATTTTCTGCACCTTTCATCAAATTGCTATGAGAAAGTTTTTGTTTACTAGCCATGCAACACTCTCATAGATCGCCAAAATTCTTAAATACCTGATTGTACATTTAATTGTCTTGACAGTAATTGGATTATTATTTTGTTATTATTTCAGAATAGCAAAGGCAGCAGTGAAGGAAATCAGGGGCAGATTAAATGGCCAGCACAAAAGGTAAAAGATGTTTTTTATTATATACTTAGTAGTAAATACAAGTATATTGTATTTGTAATACAGTTAATGACAATTATGCTGTATTAGCCATCCGTGATGATATCGATATCAGTCATGGCTTCAAAGGTTTTATCAAACCCTAATCTATATGACCTCATGTAATTGATATCACTCACGGTTACAACATTTGTGTACAAAGGCTTTATCAAACTCCTAATGCATCATGTCATATCTTGTGAAAAACATCTAAATTAGTTGTACTTGAGGTATAGATATAGTGCTGTTAATTTATATTCTTCAACATACGTATGTCAAAGATTTAGGGAAATTGAATTTTAAAAGTTTTGGACTCATTACATTGTAGTATATATAGGGTTAGAATTAACCTGTAAATTTCCCTATATGTTCTTACAAAATTTTTTTCAAATAATTATTGTAAATTTATTCTTATTAAAATTTATTGAAAATGTTACAATTTAATTAATATAATTGTTTATGTTTTTGTTCTATAATTTATCATTGAAAATAAGCACATGTTAAAAAATACCCTTGTAAAACAGTTAACACATACTTCATATTTCAACATCATTATATTACGTAATATTAGGACATCAAAATAGAATCTTGGGTTTTAAATTTTTATTATCATATTTTCTTTACTCTATGAAAATCAAATTTAGCATTAGCTACTTTTCTGAAAAGTTTTATAGATATACTTACATTTAGTAGTGAAACAGATGTGCCATTTTATTAAGAAATATAGTGTATATCAATAACATCCTTAGAAAAATGTACTTTTAAATTAAAATGTTAGTTGATGAAAAATTCTATTGAATATTGTTTTTTCAGCAGGCAGCACAGAACAATCAACCTAATAATAGAGGTGATTATGCTGATTATCATGCTTACCTAGATAAATTAGACAGAGACAGAAATAACAGACAAAATGCTCCAGGTATTTAGATATACCTTCAGATTTAAGTGTTGTATATCCCACTGAGCCTTTCACAATCTATTTCTTGAACCTAGTTTATAGTCAGCAAGCTCTACATTTTCTGATTTAATGGAAGCCTCAGTTAGTTGGGAGGTTTGGATAGCTATAAAACCAGGTTTTACTGACCATTCTCTTTGGAAAATGCCTGTACCAAGTCAGGAATATGCAGGAGGGATTGTGCCTGATATTCATATGATGAAGACATAATCTTTCAATCAGTTTAATTGAGGTCTGGAGCTGGCATGTCAGTAACTGCTAGTAGTCTGTTGTTATTTATGTATTATTGTCATTTTGTTTATTTCCTTTTGTTTCCTATTCTGACATCGGACTCGGACTTCTCATATACTGAGTTTTACTGTGCATACTGTTGTGTGTTTGTTTTTTCTACATTGGCTAGAGGTATAGGGGGAGGGTTGAGATCTCAAAAAACATGTTTAACCCAGCCGCATTTTTGCACCTGTCCCAAGTCAGGAGCCTCTGGCCTTTGTTAGTCTTGTATCATTTTGAATTTTAGTTTCCTGTGTATAATTTGGAGTTTAGTATGACGTCCATTATCACTGAACTAGTATACATATTTGTTTAGGGGCCAGCTGAAGGACGCCTCCGGGTGCGGGAGTTTCTCGCTGCATTGAAGACCCATTGGTGTCCTTCGGCTGTTGTCTGCTCTGTGGTCGGGTTGTTGTCTCTTTGACACGCTCCCCATTTCCATTCTCAATTTTATTTTAGTTGTTTTCCATTCATTTCATTAGTTCATAAAGTCAAACGTTTGATTTTATCAGTTTTTATGGTCTTCATCTTTTTGGATTTACCTTGGAGTGGGTATTTTTGTTATACTTTTTCACTGAAATTCATTAATGACATTATAACATTTTTATTTGTGAGTACAAATTTTCATGGATTTCTTGCATATTGATTTCATTGTTCAATAAAATACACATACAAAACTGCAAAATTAATTATCCCAGAAAACACAATTTTTCCTCAACAAAAATCGCTTCCAATGAAAGTTCATAGATCAACAATTTTCAAGGCACAGATTATTTTTACATTTGCTTGATACCACAACATTTAACATTCAGAGAAACAGTATACAAATATATCTACAAAAATATTGTGTGGTGTTAGTACTTGCTTATTATAGCTAATTCTGTATAAAATTGAGATCTTAAACTCTCTGATTTTTTTTACAATGTTAAAATTATTGACAACAGGTGGAGGTGCATACATGGCAGCACCTAGACAACAACAGGCCGTACCTAAATGGAACCGTGCTGGGGAGGGACCAAGGGTTCCTGCTGCCACACCCATACAACAGGCAGAAGAAAATAGGTTTGTAATTTATTGATTGATTTTAGTATTTGATAGTAGATAGAATTAAAAGTAAAATAAAACCAAAACAATATCCTGGTTTCACTTATTCATTATGGGGAGAGCCATTTACAATAAAAAGCACAAAACTATGAAGAAATCATGTACTGTCCAACCATTAAAAGAAAATACATTTGTCATTTCGGAGCTTTTATCGCTGACTATGTGGTATGGGTTTTGCTCATTGTTGAAGGCTGTATGGTGACCTATAGTTGTTAACATCTATGTTATTTGGTCTCTTGTGGTGTGTTGTCTCATTGGCAATCATACCACATCTTATTTTTATATAAAAGGAAGATTGAGTAATATGTCAATGAGAAGGCAAGCCATCAACATAAAAACAAGAAAAGATATCTGGAGGTCAACACACAGTCTTAAACAATAGACATGAATCTATGTAATAGGTCAATCTCTTAATCGAAGACAAATTGTGTATAGTTTCAGTTAAGACTACAAAAGATAACCAATCAACAACAATTTAATGAAAGGACAAAATACAATATAATGTTAAGTTTAGATTTTATAGGTAGTGGTGTGCTGATGCTGCAGAAAATATAATGTTTATTTGTGGATTTTTTAGGCAGAAGGGTGCTGATGCTGCAGAAAGTATAATGTTTATTTGTGGATTTTTTAGGCAGAAGGGTGCTGATGCTGCAGAAAGAGCAAGAATTGTTGGTGAATTTATACAGAGGAAACAAGAAGCTGAAGCAAACAGAAGGAGAGGAAATGCTGAATTGTTTGGGGTAGGTGTTGTGTTTGTATTTGGGTATAAAAACATGTAAATACTGAATACCACTAAATTTTAAGACAATCCTTTTTTTTTTAAATCAATTAAGAATATCTTGTCTTTGCTGTTTCATTTTGTAGTTCAACAAGAAATATAGATATTATACAGTTCGTAATATTTAACGCCTGTGATATGCAAATATTTTAGATCAGGTTCATACAATTAATGTATATTTATTTGGATGGAAATAGATCCAGGTTTTTGTCTCGCCTTGACGGATGCTGATAGGTATGCAGTTTGTGGTGTCAGCGTCAACAATATGTTAAAGTTTGTGATTAGGTCAGTTTAAGGGGAACCACAAATGGTAGATCAATGTTATTTGGTATGCAGTTGTATAAGCTTTGGCACATCTCATTTCCATGGAGATTATTTATCCCTGTCCCCTTATTCAGGGTCTATTGACTTTGAAACTTTTGAGTGGTCTTCATATTAAAGTTTGTGATTAGGTCAATTTGTAGTGGAACCACTTATGATAAGTCAATGCTATTTAGTATGGAGTTGTATTAGCATTGGCATACCTTATATCTGAAATTATTTGGTCTTGTTCGTTCAGACATGGTTCATTGACTTTGAGTATTTAGCATCAATCAATAAAGTTAGAAATAGTCTGAAACAGTGAATTAAAGAGATCTTTTATGTATATTTCAGGGAGCTGCACCATATGAATCCCCAAGGAATGTACCCTCACCTTCACCAATGAGGGATGATGGCAGACCTTCATCGGCTGATTCTAGGAGAAGAGAAGAAGAGGTGAGTAAGAACATTAACAAATATTGACCTTGAAAATATTTGTAGCAAAAAATAATTATACAGTGTATTAAACATTGTCAAACAACTGCAAATAAAATAGCAGTGTGATTGTGAATCTGTGAATTATAAAACAGTGCATTTTGTTTTGTTAGAACTAGTTAGTTTTATAGGGTAACTAGTTTCCTCTACCAATAAATACAGATTTAGGGAACTCAATATACTGCATGTCAGAAAAATTTTGTGTGTGTCTAATTTTGACTTCTTTTGGGTAGACATTTTACCATAAAATTAAACCTATGAGAACATTTCACTGTTCATTTAAATGGATTGTTCAAGGCCATCAAATTCAAATAATCAATACAGCAAAGATTAAACTGCCCCATTTTGACCAAAACTGCAAACAAAACTTGACATGAATATAACCTAGCATACAGTATTATGCTGGTATAGATCTGTCAATTCTGAAGAGACATATTTTTTTTTATACATTTGAATTTTGAATAGAAGAAACATTAAGTTGTTTAAATGCCTATAAAAGCATATGTTTTGATATTTATAAAAGGAAAATTTTTGGGTATACCTCAATGAGACAGCAACACAACAACACAAACAACTGAAAGACATTTGATATTTGTGTACCCTTAATATACTTCTTACTATTGTATTTAATAGGAATATTTAGAAAGATTGAAAAAGATCAGACAAGCTAACTATAATGAAAGGAGAAATGATAAGGTAATTATATGTAATCTAAAAAATATAGTACATGCCAAAACACAAAATTAACAGCGCCTTTAGGGGGAGGGTTGGGTGCCCGCTAACATGTTTAACCCGCCACATTTTTTATGTGCCTGTCCCAAGTCAGGAGCCTGTAATTCAGTGGGTTGTCGTTTGTTGCTGTATATCATATTTGTTTTTTGTTCATTATTTTGTACATAAATCAGGCCGTTAGTTTTCTCGTTTGAATTGTTTTACATTTGTCATTTCGGGCCTGTTATAGCTGACTATGCGGTATGGGCTTTGCTCATTGTTGAAGGCCATACAGTGACCTAAAGTTGTTAATTTCTGTGTCATTTGGTCTCTTGTGGAGAGTTGTCTCATTGGCAATCATACCACATCTTCTTATTTTTATAGTTGACATTCACTTTTAATGTAATCACAGACAAAGTTTAGGATGGGTAATCTCTTTCAAATTTTTTCTAATTGTGGTTTCCAAAGAAAAAGGATTTCATTACACTTGTCGAAATATATCCTAACAGACTCCTCTTTTGAAAGACAAGTTCACAAGATTACAAATCTTAATATTCTAATAGAACAAACCTGTTTTTATACGTCCATTTACAGGACATATTATGGTATACTGTTGTTCGTCCGTATGTCTGTCTGTCTGTCTGTCTGTCTGTCCGTCCATCGTCAACATGTCGGACAATAACTTAAAAACGCTTTAACCAATTTGCATGAAACTGTAGTGAATTGTTTATATCTATTGACATGAGCTCCCTTTCGATTTTTATAAATTTTGAAATTTACGTTTTCGAGTTATGGGGTTTTATTCATTAAAAAAAAGGGATTTTCCAATTTTCGGACAATAACTCAAAAATGCTTATAGCAGTTTTCATGAAACTTTGGTGAATTGTTTCTATCTATTGACGTGAGCTCCCTTTTGATTTTTATAAATTTTAGATTTTACATTTCCGAGTTCAGGGTTTTATTCATTAAAAAAAAAGGGATTTTCCAGTTTTCGGACAATAACTCAAAAATGCTTTGAGCAGTTTTCATGAAATTTTGGTGAATTGATTATATTTATTGATGTGAGCTCCCTTTGATCTTTATAAATTTTAGATTTTACGTTTCAGAGTTATGGGGTTTTATTCATTAAAAAAGGGGGATTTTCCAGTTTTCAGACAATAACTCAAAAGTGCTTTGAGCAATTTTCATGAAACTTTGGAGACTAGTTTATATCTATTAAAATAACCTACCTTTAGTTTTTTTATAAATTTCTGATATGACATGATGAGTTATGGAACTTTATTCTTTGAAAAAGTGACAGGCGTATCATGCGCTCATGGCGCAGCTCTTTTTTAGAGATGCACTAAAGACATATAATTGCTGAAAGAAGAATAACTTATAGATAGGATTGACTCTATTGTATTGTAGTTTTGAGTATTTACAAGTTTCACAGATTTAATGTACTCAATAAAATACAAATTTCCAGAAACTTTCTTCTAATGATGGAAATCAATACTTCAATATTAAGTACTCCATGGTATACAAATTATTGTTCATTTCAGAATAATGAAGCAGAAGTAAGGAAAAAGAAAATAGAAGCTTTAAGAGTAAGTTTGATTTAATATAGTGGAAATAGACACTGGCAGACCTATTTGGAAAATCACCGCGATTTTTGTAAAAACTACGGTGTTTTTTGGCTAATCTCCGCGAAACGGATAAAAATTAGAGGTTCATCGTAAATTTGCTGTATTACAGGATATTTTGCATGTTATCCGGAGATTTTCCGTGTCGGCGGGAATTAGCCGTTTGTCCGATAAAACTGGTGTGTATTGAGTCATTGATAGAATCACTGATGCGTGAGCGACGGTTATTAATAGGTCGTTGTATAATCCGTTATGCGTGAGCGACGGTTATTAATAGGTCGTTGTATAATCCGTTATGCGTGAGCGACGGTTATTAATAGATCCTTGTAGTGTGGTACAAATTATGATATATAGATGTTTACAGAATTAAAAACAAAGTAACTATAATCATTTGAGATATAAGGAATTTTCAAAAATATATCATATAATGTTTCTGTAAATTTAGAGAGAAACAGATTATATATATCTGGGGATTAGATGGTTACTTTTTTTAATTATATGTCAGAGGCCGCAGATCATTTAATTGCTTCTAGAACCGTTTATTGAAACAAAAATTAAATGAACGGCCAGGGGAAAGTCTTTAGTAACCTTAGTTGGTATCAGGGGTTAACTGGGTTAAGTTCAATATCGTAGCAGCTACGTAGCGGCTATGTAGTTGCTATCAATATCTATGTAGCAGCTTATCTATAGCTTCACGTTCAATAGTAAAAATCTACATTGCACTACGTAGCCGCTACGATATTGAACGCAACCCTGGTAATACATAGAGTCAGACCGTCGTTGCATAATATGTATATGTATTTACACACATGCAGTGCATTCAAACTCGATTTCGCAAACTCGTGGGTTGTCTTTTTAGACAAAAAAGTTCAATTTAAAAGATATGAAAGTTACGTACATGTATACAAGCATAGATATAATAGCCATTATATCTATGATACAAGGAATTGTATATTTAACGTCAATGCCTGTCTTGTAAACTAATCTGTTACACTTTGAAATGTAAATAAGTTCTTTTTAAAAGATTGGACGGTTATTTCACATGAATAAAAGTTCTTCTGATCATTTTTGTTTTACAATGATTTTTGAAAGTGCGATCTTAAAACTAAGTTTGTCCGGACTTGCATGGAATATTTGCCACTGGAAGTTAAGCAACCAACAATCAATCATCTTAAAATAAAATAAATATGCCTGAGCGATAATATTCTTAAATTTTTTAATGTGAAACACAGTTTCTTCATTTATTAGAAATCACTTTCAGGTCTGATGGTAAAGTGAATATACATTCCGGGATGAGATTAATTTACTATAATTGCCAAAGAAAAAGAAAAGATATTACGTTTCTTTTAATTAAATTTTAGACTGCAACAAATGTAGATCGAACATTTTTAATAATGAAATCATGCACGTCAAAAATTTCGCTCACAATAGAGATGTTAAAAATAGATTTTATCAATTGTGTCACTGCACGAGATCTTCCAACGGCGGGAAACATCATGTAGCTATAAACACAGGTGATGTTAGTGACCGATTGTGGAATGTCAATTTAGGGTTAAATTTGATGTGTAATGATTGACATTATTGTGCGCGTTAGGTTGAGGCTCTAGAAGGTTCATTTCAATTGATAACCAAAATTATAAAATCAAGTTTTTTTTTCAAATCAACGTTTAAGTGTAAAATTTTGTGGGAGGGAAACTTTATTTTGTTTGTTTTTTAGGGGCACAGGGAGTTACGATAAAAATCTATAGGAACGTTGAATAAAACAATTTCGAAGGTCACAACTTGTAAACTAATGAAAACAATGATAAACACTGCTGACAAGCGTAAACAGTTGTACATTACTTAGAAAATAGAGAGAGTGAAAAAAAAGGACGTTGATGATGGTTACTGTTCATGTTAATTTTGAAAGATCGTGGTAACTGATTTCTCGGATGGTGGTACTTGCCAAAAGGTTGTATAAAAGGACAAACTAAGTACAATTTTAGCCGTGATATATGGGGGCCCCTCACGCTTGAATTAATTTACGTTACATATTTCGTCCTTTATTATGACCTACAGTTGATCATAGTTGAGTACTACGTATCGGTCAGGGGCGGATCCAGACACTGTGAAAAAAGGAAGGGTGTGCTAGCCAGGGTTTCTCAGAAAAAAGGGGGTGCTAGTACAGTTGGCCTAATGTATTTGAAGGCCAGGATTGGAAGATTATCAGACATTCTGTGGCTCAATTTTAATTTTATTTTCTAACTGTGAAGTGCTACCTAAGCCGTGGCCTGGAGAACCATACCCAATTTTTTAAAAGGGTGTTCCAAAGGCATATTAAAATACTTCCAGCATTATACAGGTCCTGAGGTACAATTTCTTGGGGAGGAGATTTCAATTGCTGTTATGTGGGTTAATTTTTTGTTACTAGGAATTTTCGTTTTTTTTTTTCATCAGATTTGCCCGAATTGTCTATTCTGTTAAGGTTTCACAAAAGTCAAAATATATAACACTTCATAAACATCTGAACTTTGCCTGTATTTTTCAACCTATAATGAATAAAGTCCTAAACTATATGCAAATATCTTCATTTAAACATACTTAAACATATGCACACCGTGTAAATTGTAAATAAAATTGAAATTGTTATGTTGTGGCCAACCCGGTTCTTGGGGTGAACACCAAATTTTCCAAAAGAAATCTGGAGGCCTATTCTGATCATATTCTGATCCCCAATTTGATGAGAGAAAAAAATATTGTGGTCTGGCAGTTGACAAAAAAAATCGGAATTCCAGAATTCCCCATACCGTTTATTTCAAGAAAAAAATGTTTGGTGCATGGCAGTGGGGAATAACGTTGTGTTCCGAATTATTTCCGACTCAGAACAAACCCCTAACCCTTTGAATTTAAATGTTGCTCCTATATACCTTACTATCGTGAATTTTCAATGTTTCATGTATATTTCAGGTCAGATCCCAGGGCATACTATGTGTTCAAAATTATAAAAACGTAGAAAATTCATGATTCATGTACGTGTAATATGTCTCAAGAAAATGGATTGAAGGCATATTAATTATCAAATTATTTATTTGTACAAAAAAACACATAGGCAATGAAAACCGTGTGTGTGCCAAGAAAGGTCAATACGTATGACTCAACTCGGAGGCTGATTTAGGGGCAGGCTGTCCAGATCCCTCCTTATGGAACTACATATGGTTAATTTTGACTTTTATTTACTTGTTTCACTTACCCGAATAATTCAGTCGTTATATTCCGCTGATCTACGATTATTTCATTAACAAGTATATAGAAGAGATCGATTACGGAGAGAGACTGAATTTTTCGGGGTTAGTTCCACTCCGACCTTTTTTTAGTTTATACAATAAAGCAAGTCTATTTAATCCATTTCTCCGCTGTTTTCGTTATATATAGCACTTTCGTCATACTAAGGTTAGGTTTCAAAGAGTGGATCATTAATATGAACATGTCGGGGTCTTTTAGAGCTGACAATGCAGTATGGGCTTTGCTCATTGTTGAAGGCCGTACGGCGACCTATAGTTGTTAATTTCTGTGTCATTTTTGGTCTCTTGTGGAGAGTTGTCTCATTGCCAATCATACCACATCTTCTTTTTTTTATATATAATAACAATATCATAATTACAAATACTAATTCTCCTTACGTCATCCGAGAATACACGTGTCTTTTCTTTAGGCTAAAGCGCGAGTAGATGTATATATGTATATATGGAATTTTGAAAGGACCTTGACTGGCTACACAGCCCTTGCACGATCTGATCGATGGTCAGAAAGATGACCGTCAAGTTCTAAGTGCACACAAATGGTCACATGTCATGAATATCCATGAACGTACAACGAACTAAATTTTATATATACGAATCCTTGCTGTACCACAGGTGTCCTTGTGTAATGGAATTTTAGGGTATTGGTGCATAGTCAAGTGATTAGATAAACTTGGATAATCAATGAGAGAGAATGAATGACCATTTTAAGTTAATCCAGGGACTTTCTATTGATTGTTGTTTGCTTTACGCTGCATTAGCACAAAAATGCTATATCGCGGCGAGAGCTTATTCCAATATTTTTACAATTTAAGGTATATTTTTAAAATCAGACAATAAGGTCCTTCAATAAACTAAAAATCTAGACTAAAGGGACTTTCTATACTAACGGGATAAGATAAGATAAAACTTTTTTTTATTAAATAATGAAAGCTTTTTCAGATAAAGGGAGTGTCGGACATAGTTTTAACTCTAAATGAAACTGTTCTTTAATTCATAAATAATAATACATAAAATTAAAGGCATTTTAGACCCTTCCTACAAACGGAAAAGATGAGCATGAAAAATAAGTGAAAGGGGGGTGGGCATAAGTGACTGGTTACGAATTAATTTTAATAGTAGTTCACCGTGCAAGAAGTTTTAAAGTACTAATGGAATAGTGTGACAGACTGAGCGGATTTAGAGGGGGCCAGGTACCCCTTTTCTTGATAAAAAATGTGGTTGATTATACATGTATTGGGAATCACTGAAGCATGACTGAAGCGACCCCCTCTTAGGCAGTCAGTGCATATGAAAATTTCTGGATCCGCCACTGGTGTGCTAGCTTATAAATGATATATTTTTTACTTCCTTTATTTTTTTTAATCCTTACTCCGTCTTTGTAAGATAATCGAGACTTCATCAGGTATACACGCGGAGAAATAAAATATTGAAGTGATTTGAGTACCGATATATGAAATGTCTCCTTGGTAGCTGGTATCCCTTGTGGGATTAATAAATTGAACTCATGTGTGCCGGAATAGGTAATTAATATATTTAATTTTTATTATTTGTCAACTTATGGTACGGTAATAACTTTTATTTTTTTATTTTCCTTTTGTTTCAATTTCAATTTGCCCTTCGTTCTGTGAACAAAATAACACGGCTACACATTTTAAGACAAAACACACTAATAGTTCGACTAAC